AGAATGCAATTTCCATTCCGCAGGCGATGCAGCCTGACGTTTCCCTCACCCTCTATGCCATTACGACCAACACAACCTTCCCTACCTTCCACTCTCCAAATATATTTTCCGATCCGCTGACTATATCCCTTGTCTCCTGGGCGCGGTCAGTGAATGGGCTCGCTACACTGGTACGCCTTTCCCATGCAAGAAGGGAAACATGAGAGGTGCGATTCTTTAAAAAGGATTGTGGCCCGAACTGAAGTATTTGTGGCTTTGGGAGCGTCGGGTTGGAAAGGTGGGGGTTCGGCGTGTGTCGTCATTTCCTGGGTGTGTGGTTACATCCCGTTTGTGCGGTCGGTGGATTCGTAAGTATGGCTTGTGGGCAGTCAGGCTGGAAACGTTTGTGTCGGGTAATCTGTGGCCTCTGGAGCATCTTGGGGCCTCTGGGGCCTCTCGGGGGAATATGGTTGAATACTGAGGCCATCCAAGGGCCCGTGGGAGCCGTCCTGGGGCCTTCGGAGGCATCTCGGAGACACCCAGGGCGATCTTAGGCGCAGTTGGGGCCACCCTAGCCAACTTGGACAATCCTGGAGCCACTTAAAGCTGTGAGCGTAGTCTTGGGACCATCTTAGGCCCCCCCCCCAGGGGGCAAAACAGGCCACATGCACAACACGTATTGATAGTGATCGTGCGTTTCTCATTGCTCTTCCTTCCCCGGTAGCAACGGTAAAGGACTCGTCAAGCTTCTTGGGGTCGTCTTGAGGCCTGTTGAGGCTATATTGGGCATGTTGGGGCCATCTCGGGGCCTCTTGTCCCTCCAGAGCGCAGCACGAGACGTAGTGCTTTGACGTGTCCTGGGTTGTGGCCATGGGGCATCGTGCGTCCAACAGCCTTATCTATTGCGATAGAGTGCGCGGAGTTTTCTATTCGTTGGACTACGTACACCGTAGACCTCCATAGCCGCCAAGTTGCAGGAGGTCTGAACTCAGGGTGAATAACTTTCAGAATGCATCGAATGCGCATGCAAACATGTTGTTAATGGAACATGGTCTTCGCAGCCTTGAGGCCCCATCAAGGTGCTGGATTATGATTGGGTGCTTGGCGGTAACTATGTACAGCGCGGAGCCAGCGCCTTCAACTGATTGCGTGCGGTTTCGAGGTTAAATGACTCTACGCCCGCCCGTGCATGCTGCGGCTTCGGCCACAGCTGTCCACGCGTTTCTATGGGGCGGGCCAACGTTGGGCCTGTGAATGCTCGGTCCTGCGGCCCCGCGAACGAGAAAACGGCGACGGAAGAATGTACACGCAGGCCACCCTGTTCCATCGCTCCCAGCCTCGCGAGAGGGTATGCTCTTGAACTGGGACCCCGCCCCGCCCTAGGGGGGTACGGCACACAGATCCTTGGCGCCCACAGAGGTGGAAGCCCGCACCTCGCTTGCTCCAGGAGAAGTGGGCGAGGCGAGGGGGGGGGGAAACAGCCGTTCTGAAGTAGGGGAAACAGGAACGACAGGGACCAGAAGTACTGCACGCGTGGGTCAGAGACAGCTTGGGACACACGGTCCGGAGAAAAACCATAACAACATGTGGTCGAGCTCGTTGTGCACATGATCGTCACGTCTTTGCTCATCGAAGGGGGGGGTCCTCCTCCTCCTCCTCCTCCTCCTCCTCGCAGCGCGCGAAGCTCTGCCCCGGAGCGGGACGGTCGGCGCTCCGTACCCAAGGGGCGCGACGCCCGGGCAGGGGTGCCCGAGCGCCCTGCCCAACGATCGCCCGCCTGCCATCACGGGGGTGCCCCCCGGAGGAGGGAAGAAGACGAGGATGGGGGATGGATGGGAGGAGGAGGAAGAGGAGGCGGAGGAGGCGAAGGAGGAAGAATAGTAAGTAGACGAAGGCGAATGCTCATGACACCATACTTCTTCTTCTTCGCCTTAGTATTATCATTATTGCATTTAGTCATATTATTAGTATGGGTATAATTCCTACCATTCGTATTATCATTACCGATCGCAGAGTAATCATTATCGTTAATACGAGTAATAATACCAGGAACATTGACTACAGTAATCGTACCACTAACCACACTATAATTTTAAACTCGGTGTTAATAATAATACCACGACTAGTAACACTACTAACACTATTTCTATTACTCATCATACGAAACATACATCTACTCCTACTAAGAAGAAGAGGCATAGGAGGAGGATGAGGAGGAGGAGGAGGAGCTATTACCAATCAAACGAAGCATACTACTAATCATACTAGTAAGAAGAAGATGAAACAAAGAAGATCAGGAGGAAGAGGAGGAGGAGGAGGAGGAGGAGGAGGAGGAGGAGGAGGAGGAGGAGGAGGAGCAGGAGGAGGAGGAGGAGGATGAGCAGGAGGAGCAGGAGGAGGAGGAGGAGGAGGAGGGGGAGGAGGAGGAGGAGACGAGGGAGCAGGAGAGGTATGGCCCGCCGCCCCCTCGGAGGCCGCGCTGACGCAGGCGCCAGAGAAGCACTGGTACGTGAAGAGGCTGAAGCCGCCGCGTCTCGCGCCCGGCGTGGAGGCTGCCGGGGCCGCACCCCTGGGCGAGGAGAGGGAGGGGGAGCGGGAGTGGGGCCATGGGAGGAATGGGGGAGCGGGAGTGGCCGTGGGAGGGAATGGGGGAGCGGGAGTGGCCGTGGGAGGGGAGGGGGAGCGGGAGTGGCCGTGGGAGGGGAGGGGGAGCGGGAGTGGACGTGGGAGGGAACGGGAGGCTTCCCAGGCCGCCCCCTGGGAGCAGCGGGAGTGGACGTGGGAGGGAGGGCGATCGGGGGAGTGTGAGTGGGGAGGAGGCGTGTGGTGATTGCCGCCTGTAGAAGCCCGCTGAAGGGGAGGAAGACGAGGGGGTGAGGGCAAGCTAGGTGCGCTCGCGCCTCATCTGACATCCTCTCCCTCCTTCCCATCCCTTCCCATGGTGTTGAGTTTTACCTATCCGCGGACTCGTGCCATAGCCGACCTGCGACTTCCACAGGAAAAGCACTTCGTGTCTTGCGCAATCGGAGAAAGGGGAGCTGTGTGCACAGGAGGAGGAGGAGGAGGTGGTGGGCGAGCAGGAGAATGAGCGGGAGGAAACAGGATGAGGACGAACAGCAGCAGCAGGAACTAGCTCGAGCGGAAGGATCGGGAGGGAAAGGAGGAACAGGGGAAGGCGGAGGAGGGGAAATAAGGGGGCGACAACGATGAGGAAATATTCGGATTCAGAAATGGCCCGCGCTGGGGCGAGACGAACAACAGCAGCAGGAACTAGAGTGGAAGGAGCTGGAGGAACAAGAGGACCAGGGGAAGGCGGAGGAGAGACAATGAGGCGGGGACAACAATGAAGTCGGTTCCGCATCCAGAAAAGTGGTCCGCGCTGGGGCGAGAGCGCCATTCTGGACTACGGGAGCAAAGCGCCGATCCGAAAATGAGGACCACGCTGCAGCAGGAAGACCATTGTGAAACTTCGACAACAATAGTTATTTGTTAAGAAAAACATGAGCCTCACCCAGTCTGCACGCGTGGAAACAATCAACAAGACCGCTCGATGCCCAACAACTTCGCCAGCTCGATGCGCCAGATAATGGCGGACCAAGTACGGGACACACTCACGCTACTCAGATCAAACACGGAAAGTGAACAATGCATGCGGCGCGGACCACGAGATCGGGGACACAGGAAGCATGAGGACAGATAATTTGAGGAGCGAACAGTAGCTCCAGCCTTAGGTGGACCTCCCTATGGGGCCATGGAGCGCTGTGCTGGTGGGGGAGACGCATCTGGACACCGCCACTGGGGTCTTAGGTGGACCTCCCTATTGTGCCACGAAGCGCCTTGTGGGGTGGGGGAGACGCATGTGGATGTCACCACTGGGGCCTGAGGTGGACCTCCCTATGGTAGGTGTGGATAACGCACGTGGACACCGCCATTGGGGCCTTCGGTGGAGCTCCCTATGGGGCCACGGAGCGCTGTGCCGGGTGGGGGAGATGCATCTGGACATCGCCACTGGGGTCTTAGGTGGACCTCCCTATTGTGCCACGAAGCGCCTTGCGGGGTGGGGGAGACGCATGTGGATGTCACCACTGGTGCCTTAGGTGAACCTCCCTATGGTGGGTGCGGGCAAACGCACGTGGACACCGCCACTGGGGCCTTCGGTGGAGCTCCTTATGGGGCCACGGAGCGCTGTGCCGGGTGGGGGAGACGCATCTGGACACCGCCACTGGGGTCTTAGGTGGACCTCCCTATTGTGCCACGAAGCGCCTTGCGGTTTGGGGGAGACGCATGTGTATGTCACACTGGGGCCTCCGGTGGAGCTTCCTCTAAGGTGCCACGAAACGCTGTGCTGGGTGGGGGAGACGCATGTGGACACCGCCACTGGGGCCTTAGGTGGACCTCCCAATGGGGCCACGACACGTGGATGATGATGATGACGAAGATGAAGATGAAGATGAAGATGAAGATGAAGATGAAGATGATGATGATGATGATGATGATGATGATGATGATGATGATGATGATGATGATGATGATGATGATGATGATGATGATGATGATGATGATGATGATGATGATGATGATGATGATGATGATGAAGATGATGATGATGATGATGATGATGATGATGATGATGATGATGATGATGATGATGATGATGATGATGATGATGATGATCTTGCTGATGATGATGTTGATAATACTGATGATGCTGATGATGATGATGATGATGATGATGCTGCTGCTGCTGCTGATGATGCTGATGATGATGAGGATGAGGATGATGCTGCTGCTGATGATGATGATGATGAGGATGAGGATGATGATGATGATGATGATGATGATGATGATGCTGATGCTGATGCTGATGATGCTGATGATGATGATGATGATGATGATGATGAGGATGAGGATGATGATGATGATGATGATGATGATGATGATGATGATGATGATGATGAGGATGATGATGAGGATGATGATGATGATGATGAGGAGGAGGAGGAGGAGGAGGAGGAGGATGATGATGATGATGATGATGCTGATGATGCTGATGATGCTGATGATGATGATGATGATGATGATGATGATGACGACGAGGACATGCGGAGGGCAGATGCAGGTTTGGGAGGAGGGAGGGGGGAGGGGGAGGATGAAGAGGGGAGGAGAATGCGGGAACTGTCTCTTCAAAACGAGGACTCACAACCACAGGATGGTTGGGAATAATAATACGAATCAGAAAATATGAATAAGCACAGTAATAAGAAGGATAAACATAATAATAGCCAGAATTACACCATGAAAAACATCAAACATATTGATAAGAACAACTGCGGATTTCTCGGATCGGCGCTGGGCCCCCCTGGCGGTGCGTCCGGCGCCGCCCCTGGCGCGCCATGAAATCTGCACGGATGTCCAACAGTTTTTGTTTATGCAGTTTGTTCTTCCTTCAAGTCAGCTGCAGATCTCTTGTCGCCCCACCGCTTGCCACGCCACGCCTCCTGATATTCGAGTCCGACAGGCCCGTTGCCAATCGAATCTTTGGCGGCAGACGCACGTTGGGAACGTTGCACCCCCCCCACACCACTTCTGTTTCCCACCAAGGGGTACTACTACAACTTCTCCTCGGACGTCATTGCAGACGACGACTCCCACATCATGACGAAGGCTCGGAGTGCTTGTCGGAATGTTGCCTCGATGGCAGCAAGCTTTCTTTACAGTGCTGAATGGTAGTCGGTTTTCTCGCCAGCCTGCCTTATTCCACCGCCAGAGAAGTGAGGGCTGGTTGCGGTGGCATCGGCCGTAACATGTTTGCTTTACCCCCAGGCATTGCTCGCGATTGCTCGGAAGAGCGTTCGTATGCACAACGCTGCATGCGGGATCGAGGAGGAGGGCGTGAGAAAGGCGGCGCGCGAAGGAGCGGGGAGAGAGGAAGGCGCGACACAGCAGTCCAAGTCGTTGGACAGTGTCCCGGTGTGTGTCGAGGGTATAGCTCTGTGCCCGCAGGGTCTCCGGCTCCCCCCGCGGGTGGTGCTGGGGAGCTGCCTGGAACGTCCGTGGGCACGCGAGCCCGTCCACGTGTCACCAAGCGCTTTCCACTGCTCGCAGAGTGCCTACTCGCAAACGTCCGAAAAACATAGGTTCTCTTCGATGAGATCTACCGTCGATCCCCCGCGGCGGATCCAGGCCATTTGCGAGTAGTTATTTTGCGAGTAGTGAAACGCGCTCGTCTAACGTAGGCCTGCACGGCAGTCACAGCCGACTGAGACTGCCGCCTGTCGACAGATAGTACCGCTCATGGTTGTGGGTGTTGGGGTGCAGATCGACGAGTTGATCTTTGATTGTGTTTCGGTACGTGTGTTCGGTCTGCGTGCATGCCACTTGCAGCCGTTTCTCTGCAATCATCGAGGTGTCGTTCGAGCGGCAGCGTTTTGCCGAGTGCAAGTGCTTTGACCAGAGGAGGTTTGCATGGCAGTGATGATCTCAGTTTATTTCCGTGTTGATGTAATATTTCGGCTGCGCGTCAAAGCGAAGGATGAGCAACGCATTTTCATACCCCAGTGGAATTCAGCTAAGAGGTCCCCTCCTGCCCGTGTCTATTCCTATCCCGTCAGCTTTTCTGCCCCCCGCTTCCAGTGCAGCCCGTTTGAGCTTACTTTCGTTGCCAGATGGCCCAGCCGAGGAGAATTCCCCGTTCCTTCCCAGTGGCTGCCGCCACAGCCTGCCGGAGAGGGTGACTTTCGAAGGTACAGTCAAAAACCCTAACAAGGACGCGCGACTTTGCTCAGGGTACCCTTGCGTCCTTGCTCTTCCTTGCTCTTGCGTCCTTGGGGTTTTCGTCGTCCGCCGCCCCAAACATCCCAACTTCGGCTTCCAAGGGTCTTGCGCCCTTACCGCGCGTCCTCATTTGGGTTTTTGACCGTAGCCCTGGCTCTGCGTGCCGCCGCCCCCTCCCCGCTCTGCCGGGGGCCCTGCTGCCGCCCGTGCTGCCCCCGCGCCTCCCGGGGGGCACGAGCGGGCCGCCCGGGCCGTCTCCGCTGCTCTGGCGGGCTCGAGCCCCGCCTGGCTGGCCTGGCCTGCAGGCGGCCCAGCCAGGCGTGGCTTGGCACTGCTTGGGCATCGCTCGGGCCCTGCTTGCCGTCGCCCGGCGCTGCCTGGCGCTGCGTGGCATGGCCTGGATTGGCTCGGCATGGCGGGGCATGGCGCGGCATGGCGTGGCACTGCACGGGCAGTGCTGGACGGCCCCAGGCAACCCTGGGGAACCTCGGGCAACCCCGGGCAACCTGGGGCAACCCCAAGAGACCCCTGGCAACCCTGGGCAAAGCCCGAGCAACGCCGGCGGAGAAGGTTACCGCACCCAATGGTTGCTTTCACAAGCGCGTAGTAATCCCTTCTAGGCGAAGCCTCATTGGGACACGCAGCTGTTATGGTTCGTATGTTTTTGAATACCCTTCATGGCAGGAATGGTTCCGTCATGGTTTCGACGTGCGTGTACTGGGAAGCGCGCGTGTGGCTCTGAGGGTGTGAGTTGGCGGGTGCGCGATAATTGTTGAATGATTTCGATATGAGCGCGTGTGGCTCGCATGGTATCATTTGAGCCGGATTCATTGGACATTCACTTGTAAGATCGAAGATGCCTACGGCGAATCACCGCCGCCCCCTGCCTTTTTGGAAGCGCCTATGTGGCCGAACGTTGAGGCCAGACCTGCCAAGCTATCGGGCCATGTGTTCCCCGAATCGATTTGAAAAGCCTTCGGGGAACACGTGGGCATCATGAAGGTCATCTTGGCCGCCTGGAGGCCATTTTGACCCTTTCGGGCCTTCTTGGAGGACGTCTTGGAGGGCTCTTGGGCCGTCTTGGAGGCCATCTTGAGCGTCTTGGAGGCGTCTTGGGCCGTCTTGGGGGCCTCTGGGGGCCGTCTTGGGCCTCTTGGGTGATCTTTGGGGTCACTTGGGCCGTCTCGGGTTGTCGGAAGGCAGAGAAATAGCAAATGCCACAATCCTTCAAGGGAAATCACTGATTTTGGCCTTTTCCGCCCTTCCTGGAGGCCCTCTTGGAGGCCTCTTGGGCCGTCTTGGTCCATTTTAGGGCCATCTTCGGCCGTCTTGGTGGGCTCCTGGCCCGTCTGACGCAGTCGGAAGCCGTTTGGGGGGCTTCTCTGGGCCGACTTGGGGCCCTCTTGGAATGCTCCAGGGCCGTCTTGGAGGCCACCTTGGGCGTCTTAAAGGCCTCCTGGGCCGTCTTGGGGGCCTCTTGGGGCCGTCTTGGGGGCCTCTTGGGCCGTTCTGGGGCCATCTTGGAGGCCTCTTGGGCGATCTTTGGGCGATCTTTGGGGGCTCTTGGGCAGTCTCGGTCCGTCGGAAGGCCGAAAAAAAGCAAATGTCAACATCCTTCAAAAACCTAAGGACAATTAGTAATTTTGGCCTTTTCTGGCTTGGAGGCCCTCTTGGAGGCCTCTTGGGCCGTCTTGGGCCAGCTTCGACCCAACTTCGGCCATCTTGGTGGGTTCCTGGCACGTCTGACGCCGTCGGGAGCCGTCTTGGGGGCCTTTCTGAATCGACTTGGGGTCCTCTTGGGGCGCTTTGGGACCGTCTTGGAGGCCATCTTGGGCATCTTGGAGGTCTCTTGGGCCGTCTAGGGGCCCTCTTGGGGCTGTCTTGGAGGCCTCTGAGGCCGTCAGGGGGCCCTCTTGGAGGCCTCATGGGCGATTTTTGGGCGATCGTGGCGGCCTCTTGGGCCATCTTGAGCTGTCGGAATGCAGAAAGAGGCAAATTCCAAAATCCTTCAAAAACCAAATGGAAATCAATGATTTTGGCCCTCCTGGAGCACCTCTTGGAGGCCTCGTGGGCCGTATTGAGGCCTCTTGGGCCGTCTTGGGCCATCTTGAGGCTATCTTACGCCGTCTTGGGTACATCTTGGGCCGTCTTGGAGGCAGGCCGTCTGGGAGGGATGCATCTTGGAGGCCATCTTGGGCCGTCTTGGAGCCGTCTGGACCAGGAAAAACCCTTTGGAACCAGGTCCTTGCAAATTTTCGGCATCCTTTCGGGTGGCTGGCGGGACGCGCCGGAGGTCCAGGGGGAGTTCTTTTGGAAAAAGAACCAAAACCAAAACCGAAAGGGTCTAGCACGCCAGGCACCCCCGCGATGAATCGACAGGCGGCGGCGGATCCAGCTGCCTATGGCAAGTCCCGACACCGTACCTGCCTGGGTGGGTATGATGCCTATTGGATGCTCGTTCAGATCTCGTAGGAGGCCTCTCGGGGGCCTCTGGGAGGCAGTTTTGAGGCCTCTTGGGGGCCGTTTTGGGACCTCTTGGGGCCTCCTGGGCCTCTTGGGGGCCTCTTGGGGCCTCTTGGGGGCCTCTTGGGGGTCTCTTGGGGGCCTCTTGGGGGTCTCTTGGGGCCTCCTCGGGGCCTCTTGGGGCGGAAGGCTCGGATTTTCGGTTCGTGTTCCCTCTCTCGGGCCTCTTTCGGGGACGTCTTGGGACCCTCTTGGGCGGTCCTGGGTGCCTCTTGGGCCATCTTGGGGCACTCTCAGGCCGTCTTGGGTGTCTCTTAGAGGCCTCTTGGGTCGTTTTGGGTGGGGCCTCGTGGGCCATCTTGGAGCGTTGGAAAGCCGAAGAGTCGAGAACACCCGAATCCTTCACGAACCTTAATTTTTGCCCCTTAGGGCCCTCTTGGGAGGCCTCTTGGAGGCCTCTTGGGGCATCTTGAAGGCCTCTTGGGCCATCTGGAGGCCATCTTGGACCCTCTTGGATCGTCTTGGGGGCCTCCTGGGCCGTCATGGAAGCCCTGGAGAGCCCCCGGGAGGCGCCATGGCCGCCACCTGGCGGCCACCTGGCGGCCACGGGTGCCGACGGGGCGAAAGCTTGGAGACGCCAGCCGGCGCACGGGGCGGCCACGAGGCGGTCATGGGCGCCCCCGGGGGCGGAGACCCCGAAAAATGCCAGCCGGCGCACGGCACGCGGCCACGAGGCGGCCACGAGGCGGCCACGAGGCCATGCCACCCAGAAGCGCAGCGCGAGCGCACGCGGCAGTCACGAGGCGAGCGCGGGCGCCCATCCGGGCGAGCACCCGGAAAATGCCACGCAGCGCACGGGGGCGGCCACGGGGTGTCCACGCGCGCCCAGCGAGAGCGAGAGCCCGGAAGCGCAGGCCTCTTTCCTGACAGAGAGGTTTCGGGGGCGGAAAAGAGGGGGGTGATGACTAGGGGGGGGGGATATCATGGCGGGGGCCATGATACTTCCCCAGATCTCGTGGCGCCTCTTCTTGTTTCATTACGTCCCTGGCCCCCCCGCTGGGCCGCGCACATGCCGCCGGTCATGATTTGCACCCCCCCCTCTTGGACCCCCCCCCTCTTGGCCGCTCCCGAGGGTTGGGGCTTTTCACCTCGAGAGCGCTGTTTGGGGAATCTGTCTGCATGCGTGTGCCTGTGCACGTCTACGTTTGCGTGCCCTGTGCATATAGACGGTGCCCTGCATCTGGCGCGTGCGGCCTGGGATGCCACCGCAGCGGGCTCCCCACGGGCACTCCTGACCCGATCGCCTGGACAGAGCAGCCAGCCGCCGTTGCTCAGAGCGTGAATTACCTACCCCGCTTTCGCTTCCAGGCAAAACCGAGTCACACCGCGCGCCTCCCCGTCGAGTGGCCTGACCAGTGCGTTTGCCCCCTAGTTGCCCCCTAGTTGCCGCCTAGTTGCCGCCTAGTTTTGCCCCCTAGTTGCCGCCGCCATGGAGGCGGTGCAAGTAAGCTGCCGCGGTCCCCAGCCCGGCCGCGGCAGCCTGTCGCGGGGGTCTGTGGGTCAGCGGGGCGGTGGCGGAGGCCTCGTCTCCCGAGAGGCGCCGCGCGGTCCCGCGGCGGCTCCCGCAGGCCCACGAGCAGAAGGCGATCTCCCTGCTGCAGAAGAACATCCGGGGCGCCCTGACGCGCAGGCAGATCCGCAGGGAGACGGAGGCGGGGGTCCGCGCCGCCCGGGGGGGGAGGCGGGCGGGGTGCAAGGGATGCGGCGGGCGACGACGACGACGACGACGACGAGGACGACGACGACGACGACGAGGACGACGACGACGACGACGACGACGACGACGACGACGACGACGACGACGACGACGACGACGACGACGACGACGACGACGACGACCTCGACGAGGCCTCGAAACCGTCCGAGGGCCTTCCAAAGTTCGGGGGAGCGGCCTGCCGCGCGTCGAGCCCTGCCCGCTGCGGCGGGCCACCGGGCCCCTGGGAGCCAGGCCAAGGGGGGGCGGGAGGGCGGGGAGGGGCGGAGCCTCAGAGCTCGCATGCCGTCGCCAGCACTGCTTGCAGCGGCCCAGCAGTCGCTTTCACTGCGCCGCCAGCAGGTTTACCACCCGTGGACTCGCACATATGTTAGACTCCTTGGTCCGTGTTTCAAGACGGGTCGAATAGAACCATGTAGTCATCGTCTTTGTGTCAGGGAAATGCCAAAGTCACGGTGATGCTGGGGCACGCGCGAGTGGTGGGAGGGGGGGAGGTCTGGGAGGGAGGGGGGGAGGAGTGGTGGCGAGGAGGGAGGGAGGAGAGGGAGGCGGGGAGGGGCGGGGTGAGCGAGGGAGGGGATGGAGGGAGGGATGCGGAGGGGTGTGTGTGTGTGTGTGTGTGTGTGTGTGTGTTGTGTGTGTGTGTGTGTGTGTGTGCGTGTGTGTAGTGTGCGTGCGTGCGTGCGTGTGTGTGTGTGTGTGTGTGTGTGTGTGTGTGTGTGTGTGTGTGTAAGTGTGTAAGTGTGTGGGGGGGAGGGGGGGTAAGGGGGGCAGGGGTCGTAGGGAAGGAGGTATGGGGAGGGAGGGAGGGAATGGAAGCGTATGAGATGGAAGTGGGGGGGGAGGTGGGGAGTGCTCATTGAACTGCTCACGTGTGGTGAAGGGCCCCACTGCGAGCGCCACCACCCCGAGGGGCCCGTGGGCAGGCAGTGACGGCAGCGAGTGTCTCTTGCTCGGCCGATTGAAGTTCTTCAAGCTTGTTCATGCTTGTTGTACTTGTCCCTACCAGCCCTTGAAGCAGCCGTCATGGTCATGGTCATGGTCATGGTCGTGGTCATCGTCATCGTCATCGTCATCGTTCCTCATATCATTATGATGCTCCAATCTACTTTTAGTCTTGATCGCCATAAAGAGCTTCTAGCACCATGAAAGTACCCAAACGGGAGGGTTTTCACCTGTCGGGCCCTGGGAGGCGATACTCGTTCGACACTTCGCTAGCGTGTCGGGTATACACTGTTTCGATACTTTTTGGGTGCTCGAACTATTTCTGGGATGTAGTTCTTAAATGCGATGGGGACAGCCATAACCCTATCAGCCCATGAAGCAACTATTCCTGGGAGTGTGGGCCCAGCGTAATTACAAATCCAGCGTGATCTGCGAGGGATCGTGGCCCTGCGAGCGCGCATTCAATCTACTCCGAGTTTCATAAGAATGGAGGGTGGGTCACAACCCTCCCAGACGAGCAATCCAGACCGCTCCGAATCCTCGAAGACAGCTCAAATCAACCCCCCTCCAAATCAGACCACCCTCTTCTGTTATGCAATTCTGGGTGCTTTAATAGTGGTCGTGATCCTTGGAGCGCGGATGCCGTGTAAGTTATCAGAGTGAGGGGGCCGAACGGTCATTCACTGTCCCTGGGTGCGTGGCTGAAGTGGAATTCCGCGGTGCGGATTCTCGTTGTTGTTGTTGTTTGTTGTTGTTGTTGTTATTGTTGTTGTTGTTGTTGTTGTTGTTGTTGTTGTTGTTGTTGTTGTTAATGTTGTTGTTGGTTGTTGGTTGTTGGTTGTGGTCGTCGTCGTCGTTGTTGTTATTATTGTTGTTGTTGTTGTTGTTGTTGTTGTTGTTGTTGGTGTTGTTGTTGTTGGTTGTTTGTTGTTTGTTGTTTGTTGTTTGTTGTTTGTTCTTTGTTGTTTGTTCTTTGTTGTTTGTTGTTGCTGTTGCTGTTGTTGTTGTTGTCGTTGTCGTCGTCGTCGTCGTCGTCGTCGTCGTTGTTGTTGTTGTTGTTGAACATTATTAATTCTAAAGAATAATTATTGTTGGGGCCCCTGGTGCACGGCCCCCCTGCGCCGCCTAGGCCGCAGCTACATTTTCATCATTTTCGTGAGGAAGCCTCAGGTAATACGATGTCATCAAGATCCGGTTGTTTTGTTGTAATCCGTTTTCCCTTGCAAAAAACACTATAAAATGACATTTCTTGTTCTAATATAATCAAATTTCAAGAATCCCTTGCAAAAAATAAGGTAAAGTGGACATTCGCGCGCGCAAGACGAAATCCTTCCAAAAGCTTAGTGTTCGGAGCGATTTTAACATAAAAACATCAAAAAACCAATGGTTTTTCAACAACAAATTGTCAAAATCTCATCCCGCGCGCTCTTGCGGATTCGTAGGAAACCCAACACTTTTTAAACATTTCTGTCAAACGGGCTTTTGCGAGCAACTTTTTCGAACTTCTGCGACAACGGTTGCGCACCTGCCAGGGCCATCATCCCTGTCAAATAATACCATGCGGGACACATTCGTTTTTTCTTCGCGCGCGCACGCCGAAATCTCCAAAAACCATTGGGCTTCTTAAGAATTTTAGCACCGCGCATCATAAAATCACACGAATCGCACCGTAGGTCCTCGAAAAACACCTGCACGACTTTTCAAAATTTCTACCCGCGCGCGCTGTCCTAACAACTTCTGTGGGTGTGTACTCCACGCCAGTGTAGTAGCCACGGTCGTCCGCAGGCCACGAAGTGAAGTGTCCGAACGTCATAGGGCGGGAAGCTGGGTGTGGGTGGTGGCGAAGAGTCGTGTGGATATTTGGTAGAGCTTGCACTGCCCCCCCACAAAGTGGGGGTATTGGCTGGCGTCGCATGAAAACCCTGGCACTGGTGAGAACACTGAGCGTTCGGGTAAAGTGATTGTTGTTGTTGTTGTTGTTGTTGTTGTTGTTGTTGTTGTTGTTGTTGTTGTTTGTTGTCGTCATCCCACCCGCAACCCGCCCCGCGACCCACCCGCGACCCACCCCGCGACCCACCCCGCGACCCACCCGCGACCCACCCGCGACCCACCCCGCGACCCACCCCGCGACCCACCCGCGACGACCCACCCCGACGACCCACCCCGCGACCCACCCCGCGACCCTCCCGCGGCCCACCCCGCGACCCACCCGCGACCCACCCGCGACCCACCCGACCCACCCCGCGACCCACCCCGCGACCCGACCCACCCGCGACCCACCCCGACCCACCCGCGACCCACCCGACCCGCGACCCACCCGCGACCCACCCGCGACCCACCCGCGACCCACCCCGCGACCCACCCCGCGACCCACCCCGCGACCCACCCGCGACCCACCCCGCGACCCACCCCGCGACCCGCCCGCGACCCGGTCCGCGACCCACCCGCGACCCACCCGCGACCCACCCCGCGACCCACCCGCGACCCACCCGCGACCCACCCGCCCACCCCGCGACCCACCCCGCGACCCACCCCGCGACCCAAACCACGTGCAAGGTACAAACCACAATTTTCGGCGCCTGCGGCGGGTTTTTTTTGCATCCCTTCCAGGCGAGGCCCGCGACCCACCCGTGACCAACTCGCGACCCACCCCGCGACCCAAACCACGTTCAAGGTACAAACCAACATTTTCGGCGCCTGCGGCGGGCTTTTTTTGCATTCCTTCCAGGTGGAGAGCCCGCGACCCACCCCGTGACCAACTCGCGACCCACCCGCGACCCAAACCACGTTCAAGGTACAAACCACATTTTTCGGCGCCTGCGGCGGGCATCTTTTGAATTCGTTTCAGGTGGAGAGACCGCGGCCCACCCGCGACCACGTTCAGGGTACAAACCACAATTTTCGGCGCCTGCGGCGGGCATCTTTTGCATTCGTTCCCGTTGGAGAACCCACGGCCCACCCGCGACCCAAACCACGTGCAAGGTACAAACCACAATTTTCGGCGCCTGCGGCGGGTTTTTTTTGCATTCCTTCCAGGTGGAGGTGGAGAGCCCGCGACCCACCCGCGACCTAAACCACGCTCACTGAACAAACCAATGCCGCACAAGCGCGGCGGCGATTTTTCGCATGCCGTCTGAGCCCGCAAGGACCTCTTCAAGCCCCGCGCACCCACACCAGCCCGTCCAGCAACTCTGCCCTGGTGAGTTGCCTTGATCAGAGAAGGCGGGGAACATAAAGTGGAACAAAGGATTGCGTTGCAGTTATCTTGGGAAAGGAGGGGGAGGCAGGAGGAGTAAACAGGGGACGAGGAGAACGCGGAAGAAGAGAGGATGTAAGGAGAATGTGGAGAAAGAAAAGGAGGAGGAGCAGGAGGACGAGGAGGGGGAGGAGGGGGAGGAGGGGAGGAGGAGGACGAGGAGGGGGAGGAGGGGGAGGATGATGATGATGGACGACAACGGGAGGACGATGATGGAGGCCGATGAGGGGGAGGACGACAATGGGAGGACGATGATGAAAGGACGAGGGGGGGAGAGGGAGGACGAGGAAGAAGAGGAGGAGGGGGACGAGGTGGAGGAGGAGGATGACGATGACGATGAGATGACGAGGACGAGAAGAGGAGGAGGAGGAGGAGGAGGAGGAGGAGGACGAGGAGGAGAGGAGGAGGAGGAGGAGGAGGAGTCGACCCCGGCCACGACTTCACTCTTATCCGCAATTGCGGGGTGCTACGTAAGTGATCGGGGCCTTTGGAGCGCAGATGCTGTGTAGTGTACAAAGGATGGTGGCCCTGAGAGCGCAGATCCATGGGGCAAGAACTCTGGGACCCCTCCCAGGGGAGGGCGATAGGGGGCTCTTGGGGACGGGGGGGACTTACAAAACGGGGTGGCTCGTCCCCCGGCACCTTCTCTGGCATGTCCCTTGGCGCGCCCCCTGGCGCGTCCCCTGGCACGTTTCCTGGGACGTCCCTGGGCGCGTCCCCTTGCACGTTCCCTGACTCGTCTGCGGCACTTGCCCTGACACGTCCCCTGGCACGTCCCTCTGCACGGCGCGTTTCTTAGCGCGCCCCGCGGGACGTCCTCGGCCACGTTGACTGGCTCGTCCCCTGGCGCGTCTGCTGGCCGGGCCCTTGGCGCGTCCCGTGGCGCGTCCCTGACACGTCCCGTGGCGCATCCCGTGGCGCATCCCCTGGCGCATCCCCTGGCTCGTCCCCTGGCACATCCCCAGCCCGGCGCATCCCCCGGTGCGCCCCTGGCGCGTCTCGTGGCGCGTCTGCTTTGTAGTCGCTTACATGTCCCAGGAGGGGCCATCAAGCTTGTTTTCTGTTTGAGCATTGCTCGCCGACTGGCGACATTGAGGATCCAGAGGCCGCGTGTCGCGAGGTGAGGTGGAGGAAAAGGAAGGGCGATGCCGCCGACGACGACGACGGTCCTCAGGAGGCAGCTCGCAGTCTCTTGGCAAGCCCGTTTTCGTTTTTGCTGGTTTCGTTTTTTGTCAATTGAAAATAGTTTAATCTGTCTTTTTGTTCTCTCTCTTCTCTCTCTCTCTCTCGCTTTTTTTGCTTTCCCTCTCTCTCCCTCTCTTCGCAGGAGCCGCCTCACCCACGGCATCCCAGCATGCCGGACGGAGGGGTGCAGGCGTGACGGAGGGGGGCGAGCAGGCGTGATGCAGGCGTGATGCAGGGTCTGGGACGGGCGCGGCCAGCACGCGGCACAGTCTGCACCCGCCGCCGCGCAGGCAGCCACGCTGCGGCTCGAGCGGCGCCCGCCACCGCCCGCGCCGCCCGCGCCCCTCGCCCTGGCCCGGCCGAGGGGGGGGGGGGCGGCGGGGGGGGGGCCGCGGCGGCCGCGGTCGCGGGATGGCGGCGCGCGGCCCCCTGCAGCTCGCGATGCAGGCGCGCGTGGAGCAGAAGCAGAGGGCGCTGGCCTCCGAGCTGCAGGGGGCGCGGGATGAGCTCCGGGCCGCGCGCGGGGAGCTGCGGCTCCGCGACGACGACCTCGCGGCCGCGCGGGCCGAGCTGGAGCGGCGCGGGGGCGAGCTGCAGGCCGCCGCGGCAGCGGCGGCCGCCCAGGGGGCCGCCCAGGCGCGCCTGCGCGAGGAGCTGCGGGAGAGGGAGGTGGCGCTGAGCGAGGCCCAGGGGCTGCGGACGCGGCTGCAGGCGGCGCTCTTCGACGCCGAGCGCGCCCACGAGGAGAGCGGGGCCCTGCGGGGGCAGCTGGAGCGCCTGGGCCGGGAGCGGGACGCGGCCCGGGAGGAGCACGGCGCGGCGCTCCAGGCTCGGGAGCTGGAGCTGGCGCGGCTCCGCGAGGAGCTGCAGGGCCAGCGTGGTGCTGGGCCGGAGCTGGAGCGGCTGCGCGCAGAGCTGGAGCTGAAGGTGCTGCGCCTGGGGCCCGTGGAGGCGGAGCGGGGCGCGAAGGCAGCCCTGGAGTGTGCAGCGCCGGCGCTCGAGGAGGACGTGGCGGAGGAGGCGAAGCCCGCGGCGCTGCCGAAGAGCAAGAGGACGACATCCAGAGGCGCAGGCCGGCGGTACAACCCGCTCACGGCGTGGAAGAGCAGCGCCCCCTGCGGCGGGAGCCGGGCCACGAGCGCGAGCGCCAAGCTGCGGCGGAGGAGTAAGCGCGGCCGCAAGGGCAAGGCCGGCGCAGACGCTGAGGACGAGGGCGAGGGGGCCGACGCCCTCTCGCGCTGCTCGGGTGGAGGGTGGGCTGCTGCCGAGGGCGGTGGCGCCGCAGAAGACGGCGCCGCCGAGCTGGAGAGCCTGGCTGGTGGCGCTGCCGCGAACAGCGCCGTGGCCCTCGCGGGTCCTGTGGTGGCGTCGCCGCAGGGGCCGCCGTCCCCTGCACCCATCCTGCCTCCCGCCATTTAGGTGGAGACCCTCCAGGCCGCGGCTTTGCCCGAGAGGATCTCTGCTCCTTGCACGCCCTCGCTCTCCTGCTTTGCACGCCCCTATCTCTGAGTCTGTCCCCCCTCGTGCGCTGGCGGTTGCCACCCGTCAAGTGGGAGGCTGGCCCGGGAATCGTGCCAGCCTTGCACGCAAAGCAGCCCTCGGGGTCGAACGAGAGATGCCCTTAGAACTCGGGACGTGCACAGAGGAAAGAAGCCTTCTATCCAGCTGCCTGCGGCAAGTCCCGCCTCCGTGCCAGCCCAGCACTCTGGTTGGCGACTGTTCGAGAAGCGCACGGGAAGCCGTAACATCTAAGACCTCGTGTCTCGAGGCTGGAGAGCCGTGATGGTAACATCTGACGCGCTCTTCCGCTTCGTGTCAGGGTGTCTCTTCTCGAGTTCGTTGTCGTCTTCCTCCCTCCCTGCTCTTCCCCTCTTCTCCTCTCTTGGGTTCTCTTACGGGGCACCTTGGAAGTCGCTTGAGCCTCCGTGAGGCTCCCTGGGGCGTCTCGGGGCGCCCCTGGGCCGTCTGGCGCTCTCGGGGTCCCTCTGTGGGGGGCCTCTCTGCGCCCTCCGTGAGAGCTTGGTCGGAGCCGCTTTGGAGCTGTCCTGGGGGCCTCCTCGGGGGCCGCCTCGTGGCCTCGGCCGTCCGGCACCCCACCCTGTTTTGTTTTTAGTATTTTTTCGTTTCTTTTTTTATGTATGCATGCATGTATGTATGTATGTATGTATGTATGTATGTATGTATGTATGTATGTATATATATATATGTATGTATATATGTATGTATGTATGTATGTATGCATGCATGCATGCATGCATGCATGCATGTATGTATGTATGTATGTATGTATGAATGTATGTATGTATGTATGTATGTATGTACGTATGTATGTATGTATGTATGCATGTATGTATGTATGTATATATGTAGGTAGGTAGGTAGGTAGGTAGGTAGGTAGGTAGGTAGGTAGGTAGATAGGTAGGTAGATATGTATGTATGTATGTATGTATGTATGTATGTATGTATGTATGTATGTATGTATGTATGTGTGTGTATGTATGTATGTATGTATGTATGTATGTATGCATTATTATTTTCATTCGTATTATTGTTATTATGATTCTTCGTATTTTCCTTCGTATTATTATTCGTATTGTTATTCGTATTATTATGATTCGTATCATAATTATTTTTCGTATTATTATTCGTATTCTTATCATTATTAGTAGTATTCTTAGTATAACTGTTATTATTATTCGTATGATTATTATCATGATTATTGTTATTATTATTGTTTTTCGTATTATTTTCGTATTATTATTATGAGCATTCGTATTATTACTCTTCTTCGTCTTCTTCTTATTAGTATTAATATTTTTTATTAGTATTGTTACTATTATTATTATTATTATTACTATTATTATTATTATCATTTTTCTTATTATTATTATTCGTATTATTGTTGTTATTATTTTTAATAATAATATTATTATTATTATGATAATAATAAATGAATATATAGATGTTTGTTTTCTGAGTTTTGCAGTCGACCGAGGCGTCGGGCCGCCCAGGGAAGCCTCGGGAGGCGGGGTGCGGCGCGCGCAGCCCCGGCGTGGTGGGAGGGGAGGGAGGAGGGGGCCCTGGCTGCGGGCGCCGCCAGAACCGCCCTCGGCTGCGGCGCGGCACGCGGCCGGCAGCCTCGCCCCGACCTCCTCGACGAGCTCCACGCCCACGTCGTCACCCCAAACCGCGCTCTCCTCGAGCCCCAGGGTGCCCCCCCCCCAGGATCTCTCCAGGGAGGCCCCCAGGGCCTCCAGGGAGCCCCTCGCGAGGTCTGGGGGGGCCCGGGGGCTCCAAGAGTGGAGCGTTAAGTCGGGCCTGTCCCCCTACAGGGGGATTTTCGACGAAAAACAAAACAACTCAAAATTATCCCAGTGCGACCCTACCTAGGAGTTGGAGCCCCTAGGAAAGCAGCATTAGTAGTAACAGTAAAGCTAAGCTAAAGCTAAGCTAAAGCTAAGCTAAAGCTAAGCTGAAGCTAAGCTGAAGCTAAGCTAAAGCTAAGCTAAAGCTAAGCTAAGGCTAAGCTAACACTAAGCTAAAGCTAAGCTAAAGCTAAGCTGGAGCTAAGCTGAAGCTAAGCTAACACTAAGCTAAAGCTAAGCTAAAGCTAAGCTACAGCTTAAGCTAAACATAAGCTAAAGCTAAGCTAAAGCTGAGCTAAAGCTAAGCTAAAGCTAAGCTAAAGCTAAGCTGAAGCTAAGCGAAAGCTAAGCTAAAGCTAAGCTAAGGCTAAGCTACATCTAAGCTAAAACTAAGCTAAAGCTAAGCGGAAGCGAAGCTGAAGTTAAGCTAAAGCTAAGCTAAAGCTAAGCTAAAGCTAAGCTACAGCTAAGCTAAAGCTAAGCTAAGCTAGGCTAAATCTAAGCTGAAGCTAAGCTAAAGCTAAGCTAAATCTGAACTAAAGCTAAGCTAAAGCTAAGCTAACACTAAGCTAACGCTAAGCTAACACTAAGCTGAAGCTAAGCTAAATCTAAGCTAAAGCTAAGCTAAAGCTAAGCTAACACTAAGCTGAAGCTAAGCTAAGCTAAGCTAAAGCTAAGCTAAAGCTAAGCTAAAGCTAAGCTAACGCTAAGCTAATACTAAGCTAAAACTAAGCTAAAGCTAAGCTGAAGCTAAGCTAAAGCCAAGCTAAATCTAAGCTAACACTAAGCTGAAGCTAAGCTGAAGCTAAGCTAAAGCTAAGCTAAAGCTAAGCTAACACTAAGCTAAAGCTAAGCTAAAGCTAAGCTACAGCTAAAGCTAAAGCTAAAGCTAAAGCTAAGCTAAACTAAAGCTAATGCTAAGGCTAAAGCTCCCAGGGGACTGGGGGAACCGCGGGGCGGGGACTGGTGGAAACACCTGGGGCGGTTAGCATTGCCCGGCCCTTTAAGCAAAGAGAGTAAGAACCCTTCTAGGCAGAGCCTAGGTAGGGAAATAGTTCCAAAAATAATGGAACATAGTCTGGGGACTATTTTTTTAGTTTTTTTTTGTGTGACCATTTTGGATTTTTGTTTGAGTATTTTTTTCATTTTTCGCCCAAAATTCCCTTGTAGGGGGACACGCCCGACTTAAAGTTGGAGGCACCCTGGGCCAGGGGCACCTTCAGCCCCCCCCACTTCGAAGGCTCACGAAGAAACCTACCAGGCTGCACTTGGCATGCTGCCGCGCCTCAGTGTGCCAGGGAGCACGGCGGCGGATCCATCGTACGCCATCGCCGCTGCTGCCGTCTGGCCTTTCAGCGAAACCCAATTCTGACTGCTGCAATTTCTGAGCTTGCGAAGACCTCGTCGACGCGTGATGCCTGTGGGTCCCAGGACCAGCCAGGCTCGCAGCCAGAAAGGTTGCCTCGGGCCTCGGTCCTGCAATAATCTCTGCCAGAGGGAGACAGCTGCTCGTCGCGCACAAGAGCAGCCCTTGCTCGCGGCCTTGCACGCGTGATGGCGTGCCTGCAGGGCCGACGCGATCGTGGCTGGGAGTGCGGGCATCGTGGCCCTGGGAGCACGGGCTGGTGTGTCACCTCAGGAATCGTGGCCTTGCGAGCGCGGAGGAAGCGTGGCTCTGCGGGCGCGGACCCATCGTATGTCATCTGGGATCGCGGGGGGTACGAGTCGCAACACCGCTCACAGGGGATGGCGTCGGGGGGCTTCCGCGGGCTGGGGGTAGACTTGCAGAGCAGGGCGGCTCCCCTGGCTGGCCTCCTGGCGCGTCCCCTGGCTCGTCCCCTGGTGCGCTTCGCGGGACGCCCTCTGGCGCGTCCCCTGGCGCGCCCCCTGGCGCGCCCCTTGCCGCATCTGCTGGCGCGCCCCGTGGCACGTCTGCGGCACCCCCTGGCACGTTCGTTCTCGCTTCCCTGGAGCGTTTCCCGGCGCGTCCAGAGGAGGAGGAGGAGGAGGAGGAGGAGGAGGAGGAGGAGGAGGAGGAGGAGGAGAGAGATGAGGAGGAGGAGGAGGAGGAGGAGGAGGAGGAGAAGGAGGAGGAGGAGGAGGAGGAGGAGGAGGAGGAGGACCCCCTTGCGCGTCGCGCCGTGGTGCGTCCGTTGGCACGATCCCCGGCGCGCGCTCTGGTGAGGCCCCCTGGCGCGTCTTCTGGCGCGTCCACTGACACGCCCCCAGGCACGTCCCCTTGGCGCGTTCCCTGGCGAGTCCCGCGGCATGTGCCCTGGCGCGTCTCGTTGCCCGTCCCCTGGCACGTCCCCTGTAGCATCCTCGGGTATGTATCCTGGTTCGTTTCATGGCGCATCCGCTGGCGCATAGCGCGGGACTTCCCGTGGCGCGTCCAAAAAGGCACGTCCTTTGGCACGTTTTGTGGCGCTTCCCTCACACATCATGGTGTGTCCCTTGCGCGTCCACTTGCGCGTTCTCTTGCTTGCGCTTCCCCTGGTTCTCTGGCGCATCCCCTGGCGCATCCCTGGCACGTCCCGTGTCGCGTCCCCTTGATGTAGCTCTTTCATGTAATCGCTTAGATCATTCCGCTGGCCCGTTTTGTGCCATCGCTGGCGCTTGCCAGCGCCTTCGTGGCCCATGCGGCGCTGCTTGGCGGTGGTCTTTTTATCTTGAGGCGTGGCGACAGCAGGCATGGAGGTGAAATAGTTGCTTTGGTGCTTGTCGTGAGGGTTCTGGCCTCTACTGCTCACCGACATGGCTAGATTGTGGGTCAGAGTCCTCAGGGATGCTTCTTGGGGTCTCTTCGGAGCGCTCTCGGGAGCTTCTGGAGGGTAGTTCTGGGGACTCTTGTGAGCATCTTGGGAGCCCTGGGAGCCTCTTTGGGGTCTCTTGGGGCTTCCCAAGGTCCTCTTGGCGGCCTCTTGGGGCCTCTTGGAGGTCTCTTGGGGGCCTCTTGGGGCCTCCTGGGGGCTTCTTGGGGTCGAGGGCTCAAAATGTCCGTTTAGGTCTCCCGTCTGGGCTCCCTTTTGGAGTCGTCATCGGGGCCTCTTGGGCCGTTTTTGGAGGCCTCTTGAGCTATCTTGGGCTCTCTTGGGCCGTTTTGGGGCTCTCCAGGAGGCCTCTTGGACCGTTTTCGGGCGATATTGGAGGCCTCTTATGCCGTGTTTGAGCGTCGGGAAGCCGCAAAGGCGAGAATGCAGAATGCCAACATCTTTCAAACACCGAAGGGGAATCCATGATTCTTGCCTTTTTGGGCCCTCTGGGGAGTCCTCTGGGAGGGCTTTCGGGCCCGTCCTGGGGCCATCTTGGGCGTCTCGGAGCGATGTTGTGGTGTCCCTCCCGCCTCTTGGACCATCTTGGGGGCCTCTTGGGGGCCTCTTGGCCCGTCTTGGGGCTTTAAGGTGGGCCCCGATGGTGGCGCCCAGGAGCAAAGCCCTCTCTGATCGGACCTGGCCGGGGTACTTGTCGGCTGGGGACCCCCAGGGGCGGCCCAGCGCGCGCGCGCGAATGAGAAAACTCTGAACCAGTCACTGGAGATCTCAGCACGCCTCTGGCCCGCTGGGCCGGCGACTTCTCCAGCCAGGGACAAGCCGATAGGCGAGGAGTGGAGGATTTGGAAGCCCTGTGTGGCGCGAGGCGAGGGGGAGGAGGAGGAGGAGGAGGGCGCCGACGGCACCGTCGACGACCATCTGGAGGTAGCGCGCAGGCCTGGCAGACCGGAACCCCTTCACGGGCTCGCGGGTCGCTCATGTATCACGGAAGGCCGAGGCAGCTTTGAGCACATTCTCGCCCATGGCCTTCGTCGGGGTCCATGGGCGGCCTGGGTGCATCACGTCCACGCCAGGCCCGACCGAGGGTGCGCGTTCCTGCGTCGGTAATCAGGATACCCCGCGGTCCTCGCTCGGATCCTGCTGGACGTGCAGCCAGCCGTGGTCGACTGGTTGCCCCGTGCCCCTCCTCGAAGGACCTACCTCTCGCCAACCCTCTCGCGCCTCACTGCTCTGCTGGTCCTCGAGGGCCTTGCGAAGGCCCCGAGGATGATGATGATGATGATGATGATGATGATGATGATGATGATGATGATGATGATGATGATGATGATGATGATGATGATGATGATGATGATGATGATGATGATGAAGGATGATGAGGATGAGGATGAGGATGAGGATGAGGATGAGGATGGATGATGATGATGATGATGATGATGGTGATGATGGTGATGATGATGATGATGATGAGGATGATGATGACGACGATTGACCATGACGATGATGATGAATGATGATGATGATGCTGCTGATGATGAGGATGCTGTGCTGATGCTGATGCTGCTGCTGCTGCTGATGATGATGATGATGATGATGATGTTAATGCTGGGCTGGTGATGATGCTGATGCTAATGCTGACTGCTGATGCTGATGCTGATGCTGCTGCTGCTGATGATGATGATGATGATGATGATGATGATGATGCCTGATGCTGCTGATGATGATGATGATGATGATGATGATGATGATGATGATGAGATGATATGATGATGATGATGATTGATGATGATGATGATGATGATGATGATGATGTGATGCTGATGATGATTGATGATGATGATGATGATGATGATGATGATGATGATGATGATGATGATGATGATGATGATGATGATGATGATGTGATGATGATGATGATGATGATGATTGAGGATGATGATGAGGAGGAGTGAGGAGGAGGAGGAGGAGAGGAGGAAGGAGGAGGAGGAGGAGGAGGGAAGAGGAGGAGGGAGGAGGAGAGGAGGAGGAGGAGGAGGAGGAGGGAGGTTGAGAGGTTGAGGGGAGGAGGGGGAGGAGGGGAGGAGGGGGAGGGGGGGGAGGGGGAGGATGGAGGGGAGGAGGAGGAGGAGGAGGAGGAGGAGGAGGAGGAGGAGGAGGAGGGAGGTAGGAGGAGGAGGAGGAGGAGGAGGAGGAGGAGGAGGAGGAGGAGGAAGAGGCCCCCGGCCTAGCCAGCGGGCAGAGGGGAGGGCCTCGTCTCCGAGGTATCGAGAGGTTGACGCCTTTTCTCGGCGGAAGGCTGGCGGGAGTGAAAGACAGGCTAGTCCAGCGGAAGCCAGCGGAAATAGGCATCGGCGTTCCGAGGTATAATTCTCCAAATCGGCTTGCCCTATATTAGTCCTAGCTCGTTATCTGTAATTGGTCTTTCGGACCCCCCCTTTTTCCAATGGCACGCCCCTCCCCCCTTTGTTCCAATGGCCCCCCCTTATTCGCTCTCGCTTGAAGCTTGTTCTTGCTTGCTTGCACTTGTTCGCTGGCTCTTGCTTGCTTGTTATTGCTCGCTTGCGCTTGCTCACTTCCGCTTGCTTGCTTGCGCTTGTTTGATTTTGCTCCTCCCGTCCTCCTCCCGTCCTGCTCCCGTCCTCCTTTCGTCCTCCTCCCATCCTCCTCTCGTCCACCTCCTGTCCTCCCATCTATTTGGAGTCAACGCTGGCTGATGTTTCTTTTAGATCCGTGGGGAGTCAAGTAGAACCGAAACGAGCCTTCTGGGGCAAGTCGTCTGCACGGCATCTGCACGTGATACATTCGTCTCTCACGACGCTGCTGGTCGAGATTTGGGCGGCGGCGGCGGCGGCCAGCTGCAGCCGCGAGGCCACCATCGTGATCCAGAAGTGCAAGACCATGTGGGACGTGCAGAAGATCCACGGCAACAACGGCAGGACCGTCCGCGGCCAGGTCCCGAGTGGTCTGGCGGCGTCGGGCGGCAAGCGTTTTGAGGGGGCGGGGCCGTGGACGGGGGAGAAGGAGGGCACCGATCCCCCGCAACCTGCGGACGTGTTCCGCCCGAGTTGGCCGCTCGAGCCGCGGCCAGTTGCTCACCATCCAGCAAACCACCCCAACCCAGCCCGAAGGCCTCAATTTGCCCTCCATTTCCAGTGTGGGGGGGATCGGGGAACATTGAAAACACACATGGAACCCGCACCCCCCCCCAACCCGAAACTCGGGTCCAATTCGGGTCTTCGGGTTGGCTTGGGGTGGTTTGGTAGGCAGTCAGCTGCCTGTGCCCGCCACCGCCCCTGGCGTGAGGCGCCGGGCCTCCTCTCGATGAGACGTAAGAGTGACCTTTCGCGGGAGTGACCTTTGGTGCGGGCACAGATGGGCCCTCAGACGGCTGAAAACGAAGCGGTAGCAGGGGCTTGCGCGCCCAGGTTTCGTCTCCCCGCGGCCCCCGAAAAGCCGCGCACCAAGGGTCACTCTTACCCAGGGTCACTCTTGCGTGTAGCCGGGCCTCTCTCCTGTGGCCCGCGCGCAGCCGCGCGGGCCTGCAGGTTTCCCCTGTGCTGCCCGCGTGCGGCCGGGGCTCCTTTGGCCTCCTCTCTGGTCCTGGCCCTCGGGGTGGTCCCCGCCGAGGTCGAGCCCGCACGCGGCGCGGTCTTCTGTTGGCTAGACGTAAGAGTGACCTTTCGCCGGAGTGACCTTTGGTTCGGGCGCAGATGGGTCCCCAGATGGCCGAAAACTGAGCAGTAGCAGCTGCTTGCTCGTCCAGGTTTGGTCCCCCCACGGTCCCCAAAAAGTCGCGCACCAAAGGTCACTCTTACCCAGGGTCACTCTTGCGTACAGCCGATTCTGCGTGCCGTGCCGCGCTCCCGCGCCGTGTCTCTTGGCATCGCTCGGACGTGTGCATTTTTCCTTCGGCGAGGACCATCGAGGAGCATCCTTGATCATTTGGCGAAAAAGCCATGCATGAAGCCGACAAAAGCACAGGGAATGGACGTTCGAGCGATGGCCAGGTCCAGGGGAACACAAAGTAACAGAAGCATGAAAGCTCGGAGGCCCGCGCGGATTTCTCGGATCGGCGCTGGGCCCCCCTCCCTGGCGCGCGGAGCGCGCCAGGGGCGGCGCCGGAGGCGCCGCCGGGTGGCCCCAACGCCGATCCGAGAAATCCGCGCGGGCCTCCGAATTTTTATGTCTATGTCACTTTTTGTTCCCCTCTGCACTCCTTGTCTCCTCGGCGAGGCCGCCGAGGAGTCAGGCCACTTCCCTCGGAGGGGCTCGAGGAGCATCAGAGGTGAAGTGGCCCGTTGCGGTCAAGCATCGCCGAGCGCGTCCCACTACTCGCAAAGTGCCTACTCGTAAGCGTCCGAAAAACACATGTCTGCTTTGATGCAATGTATCGTCGATCCCCCGCGGGGGATCCATGCCATTTGCGAGTAGTGACTTTGCGAGTAGTGGAACGCGCTCGTCTAAAGAAATGAGAGGCTCTGTTGGGGGCCTTCCGGGAACGTTTCGAGACTCTCGTGCGTCCGTTCGGGGCCGCCTCAGCTGTCTCATGGGGTTCTTCTGTTGTCTTGTAGGCCTCTTGGGGGTCCTGGGCTCGCTTGTGCACTCTTGGGAGCGGTTGGGGGTGCCTCTTGGAAGCGTTGTCGGGGCGTCTTCGAGGCTTCTGTTCTGGGCCTTGTGATATTGTAGTGTTTTTTTTGGGGGGTCTTCTTGGGCCGTCTTAGGGGCCTCCTGGAGGCGTGCTTGTGGCTTTTTGACAAAACGGTGGTGGTGGCGAAAGTGCCGCCCCTTCTCCGAAGTCTTGGGGTTCAGCTTTTAGCAAAGCGCACTGTGGTTTACATCTGTCTTGCCTTTCGGCGCCGTCTGCTTTAGAGAAGTCCAGGAATTCATTTGCGCCGCTTGGCCCGCCGAAGTGGAGACCCAGGAATATCGGAGGGAGACAAAAGGCCACTCGAAGGGGGCCCGTGAGATGAGCCTCAAGGGCTATGGGTAGGGGGGGCAGGCCCCCTTGAATTGTCACTGCGCCCAGGTAGGACACAGGCACAATGGATTATAGTCTGGCTCGGCAGAGGCTGTCCCACGAACGTGACCGAAAGTCTGCCCGCAGCTAGGTGGCCGGACTCCCCTCTCAGGGCGAGCGGTGCGAAGATAAAGCGTTGAGAAGACAACCGCGCTTCCCCCCCTCCGGGCCGGTGTCCCGCGCGCGCGCGCTCTCTCGAGAGGTGCTTGTCCATAGCCGTTTCGGCTCAGGCTTGAGCCGGGGCGGCAGCCGCGGCGGCGGCTCACCGCGATGGCCGAGGCCCTAGCCGCTACGGCGGGCCTGCGGCCCGAAATTGCCCGCCCGCCCGACCCGTGTAGTGGGTCACAGGAAAAGGGCTTCGCTGGACGTAGGCAACGGCCAAGTTGGCTCGCCGCGCCTACTCTTGAGCCGCCCTGTCCAGAGCGGGTTTACGTTCGCACCGCGCCCAGGTCCCGGCAGCCTCGCCGTCTGCTGCGGCCTGGTACCGTCGTGCGCTAACGTCACGGGCGGTGGCGTGAGGCACCACGCTCACAGCTTAGCTGTGCCGCCCCGCCCTGGCCAGGGAACGTACCACGCTTGGTGCTAGCTCCCGCCAGGGGTTTCATTTACGGCCTAGCCTAATACCGGCCAGAGGTATACCCTCCAGTGGCCTAGGTAGCTGGCGGCCGTCCCCTCCCTGACCTGGAGGGGCGGCCAATGCATGTAGCTAGGCGTCCCTGCTCTCCTCGTCCACTCTCTCATGCTCCTCCTCCCCTTCGTCCTCCTCCTGCTTGTATGTCATCTGCGGAACCTGCTTGGTGCCAGTGATTAGAGAAAGGATGCCGCTCGAGGGCGCCAGTCCCGCACAGGGCTGATGATGCTTCAGATTATCCCATGCGCAGTCCAGCGAGGGGTCATCCACCGGCTACGTTGAGGTGTCATGGGAGGGCGCCAGAGGGGCTTCGGACTGGGTATTCGGGTTTTTAAGGGCCCACATGCGAACCCTACCCCTACCCCCCACGATTTCTGAGGGGGAGGGTGGGGTTCACCTCGTTTGGGAGCTCCCGAGCGAAGTGAACCCCACCCTCCCCCTCAGAAATCGTGGGGGGTAGTGGTAGGGTTCGCATGTGGCCCCCTAGCCTTCTAGGGGCTTGGATTTCTTCGTGCCTTGGGCAGTCTTGGAGCAGTTTTTGTTGGCCCATCTCTGGGCAGTCTTAGCCTCGCGCATCGGTGGGAGGTCAGCTGGAGCGGCCCAGGGGCCGTTCTAACGCCCTCCAGGGAGCGTCGCATACTTTTTTTCCGAGTCCCGAAAACCATCACGTCACTAATTTTGGGCCTCAGCGCCCACTGAGGCCCCAGGGGCCTCAGATTAGTGCAGTGATGTTTTTTTCCACGTAAGGACCCCGAAATTCACTTCACTAAACCGAACCCAGGACGAAAGCCAGGGGCCGAATTGCTGCTGTGATGCAACACAGGTCTCGTATTTTTGAAGCAACACGTGATACGAAAGCTGCGCTGGCGGGGTCCTCCTAGAGTTGCCTTGGGAGCTAGTTATTCAGAGCACGTTGAAGGCTCCCAGAGGGATTTGGAAGGCCCATAACGAAACATACTCCTCCACCTATATTTTTACAAGCCCGGGCGGGGGGAAAACCCGTCCCCCCCCCAAAACCGGACTCCTAGGATCTGGGGCTTTGGGACCCTCCGGACTCCGGACGGGCCTCGAAGCGGCCCCCTGGGCATCGCAGGGCGTTTTGCCAAGCCTTCCCAGCACACCTAGGGCGACCAGGGGGGTCATCGGAGACGTCCCAGAGACTCCCAAGACAGCACAAGAGCGCTCCAAGAGTGACCGACGTGACCTCAAGATGGCCCAAGAGGCCTCCAGGACGGCCCCAAAGAGGTTTACAAGAGCACTCCCAAGAAGGCCCCAAGAGGCAACAATCATTAATTTTCTGTTGTTTTTTGGTGAATTTTGGTGAATTTTGGGGTTCTCCTCTTTTCGGCTTCCCGACGCTCCAAGACGGTCTTCTGGGCGTCCGAAGCCGCCTGGGAGGCTCCCAAATCGCCCCACAACCATCTGAAAGGGCTTCCAGGCAGTCCAAGAGAGCCCCAAAACGGCACAACACGGGTCCAAGATGTCCCTCAGAGAGCCCCATGGCGGCCCAAGATGGCCCCAAGACACCCTTCGAAGCATTCCAAATCGTGACCCGGTCGTTCAGGGAAACCGCGGTTGGAGGCAGGGTGGCCCGAGGAAGCCCCCAGAGGCCCCCAGAATACGCTCAGGAGGCTTCCAGAAGGCCTTAAGAAAGCTTGAAACAACTTTTGTGAGGCCCCCAGAGGCTCTCCAAGGAGGAGCATCCGCAAGAAAGAGTCGAGGAGGATGGGGAGAATGCGCGGGGTATGGCGAAAATGAGGAAGAAATGTGGAGGAAGGATCACGAAAAACATTATTATAGCGGCGATGCCGGAAAAGGCAACAAGGAGTTATCGCTAATTTGTCGGCTTGACCTTCTTGCTATTCCGCCTGCATACTAAACTTCAAGGGCCAAGGTGCATGGCGCGAAGCGCCATTGCAGTCTTGTCTGTATATACATATCTATAATTTGCCGTCTTGCTTGTGGACTAGAACGCAGGCGTGTTCGGACAGGGGTATTGGGCGTTTTGAGAGGGGCTCTCGTATTGGGCTTCTTGCATCGCTCGACTGCTTTGTGCGCGAATGATGACATGCAGTCGGTATCATGCAAACATGCTCATCTTCTGTGAGCGTCTGCACCCCAGGGGTGACGCGCCCGCCGAGAGATCTGACAGTCTATACCCGGTGGCGGGCCCTCTCTGTCCACACCGCTCGGGGAGAACGACACACGACAAGATCCTGTGCACCGCGGCTTCGGCTCGGACTTGCGCCTCCGAGGCGGGCGCACCGTGGCTACCGGTGTGTCCCCGTGCCGTCCCGGGCAGGAGCTCTGGGGGCCCGAGGCGGGCTCACTGCTCCGCAGCGCGGCGGCGGACACACACCTCGAAGAGGCCCCGCGGCGCCGCCGACTCTGCAGGCGGGACCTCCCCCCGGACCCCTGCTGGCCCAGGACCCGCCAGGACCTCGGGGGGGGGGGGGGGCTGGCATCCTTCCCCTGGAAGGCCCCCCTCCCCCTCCCCCATCACAAGCGGGACCTCCCCCGGGGCCCCCGCTGGCCCAGGACCCGCCAGGACCTCGGGGGGGGGGGCTGGCGTCCTTGCCCTGGAATGCCCCCCCTCCCCTCCCCCGCCACAGGCGGGGCCCTTCCCCGGGACCCTCGCTGGCGCGACGCTCCCTGGGCCCGCCAGGACCCCCGACGGGAGGGGGGCGGTGTTCTGACTGGGACTACCCCGCCCCCCCCCCCCACCGCCGCCTCCCCCGTATTCTGTCCGTCAGGGAAGGGGAAAAAGGGGAAGGGGATCGACTTGAATTAGACCTTCCTCTTCCTTGTTCTTCAACTTCCGTGGGACCGACGACGACGACGACGACGACGGCGACGACGACGGCGACGGCGACGGCGACGGCGACGGCGGCGGCGGCGGCGACGGCGACGGCGACGGCGACGGCGACGACGACGGCGACGGCGACGACGGCGACGACGGCGGCGGCGACGACGACGACGACGACGACGACGACGCGGCGGCGGTGGCGACCGCGTCCTACGCACGCCGAAGCGTCGTCGGAGCTCCGAAGGGCGTGTGCAGAAGTGGGGCCCTGCGGCGCGTCGAGGCGCGCAGGCCTTGACGCCGGTGCCCCCCCTCCGCGCCGCGCTGCGCGGAGGCGTCGCCGGCGGGGAGCCGGGGAGCGGCGCCATGACCCGAGGGCGAGGGCGAGGATTAAAGTCCGCGGGGCCGAGGGCGAGGGCGAGGGCGAGGGCGATGGTCCGAGGGCGCCATGATCCGCGGGAGCCGGGGAGCGGCGCCATGTGGCTCCGCCATCTGGGACGGGGCGAGGGCGAGGATCAATCCGTTCCGGAGCGTTCGGGGACGCTCCTCGGAACGTGCCGGGATGCTCAGGGGAAGGCCACGGCGCCCGAGGCGTCCTCCACAGAGCCGCCGGAGCTCGGAGGTGTTCTCGGCCACGCGCAGAGGGGGGTGGGGGGAGGGGGGAAGCCTTCTGAGAAGCACCCCTGCTTCTTAGAAGGTGCGGGCCTTGTCTAAAGTTGTAAGGCCGGCGCCTTCTAAGAAGCACCTTCCTAAGAAGCCTTCCCCCCTCCCCCTACCCCCTTGTGCGCGCCGCCAAGATGTTCTCGGCTTGCCCTCGCCCGATTTTGTCTTCGTCCTGGCTCCGTCTTGAGGAACGCGGCCCTGCTCAAGAGCTGGTACCGCAAGCACGCCGCCAAGAAGGAGAAGGACCGCTCCGCCCTCCGCTTCCCGAGGGGCCTCGCAGCGGAAGCATGCAGCTCGCCTCAAGGGCACCATACAGGGGCTGGCCAGCGAAATTGCGCGAGGATGGGCCGAAGGAAGAGGATGCAGGGGGTAATTTTGGAAAATCGCTCATCCTTACACACCACCCACCAAACCACCTCAACCCAACCCGAAGGCTCAGATTTACCCTCGATTTCCAGGGGGGGGGTCGGAAAACATAGAAACAACACACGCGTAACCTTTACCCCCAACCCGAAATTCGGATCTTCGGGTTGGGTTGGGGTGGTCTGGTAGGTAGTCACTCACTATCGGTAGTCACTTACTATGGGCGAAGGAGAAGGATGGGCGAAGGAAAAGGATGGGCGAAGGAGAAGGATGGGAAAAGGGATGGGCGAAGGAAAAGGATGGGCCGACGGAAGAGGAAAGCCGCTCATCCTTACTATCGGTGCCGACGGTCTATACATCTTCCCCCGCGGACGGGGAGGGGGGGGGCCGACGGAGGCCCCGTGGCGCCCAGAGGTCCGCGCCGATGTTTCTCTCGGATCGGCGCCTGGACCCTCTCCCTGCCGCAGAGCGCGCTAGGGGCGGCGCCGGAGGCGCCGCCCGGGGGGTGCCTGCGCGGATCTGTCAAGCAGTGGCGAAGCGTCTTGGCTCGCCTATAGCCCTACCAGACAATTTTGTAAGAACCTTTTGTGGTTCCCACGAAAGGTTCTTAGAACACTTTGGCTGGGACTGCTGTTTTAACACATCGGGTCTATGTTCTAAGAGCATTGCTTTTGTTCTTAGAACATGTTTTGGGTCCTAAGAACATTTCGTGGTATGACTATAGGAATGCTGGGACGGTCGGTCCCTGCTCAGATCCGAGAAGTTCGCGCGGACCTCCGAAAGTTTGTGTGCTTTACAGCCGTGGCGCTGCAAGAAGGACCACGTCGGGCTCAGGTGGGGGCCGACGACCGCGAGGCGATCGGAGCGGGGCGACGGGGGGGCTGGCAACGCTTTTCATGGCCGTCCTGCTCGGCGTCTTCGGTTTCCGGGCGCAGAGGGCCACGACGCGGGGCGGCCTCGAGGCGGACTGGATCGGCCTCTTGCGACTGCGCCACGTGCACCGTGGGCCTCTCGGAGGCGAGGGGTGGCCCAGGTAGCAGCCCGGTGACAGGGGCAATACTCAAAAATAGTAAAATATAGTCGGGGGACTATTTTGGGGTATTTTTCGGATCATTTTTGATTTTTCGCCCAAATCCCCCTTGTGTGCGGTTGTTGCGGGGAGGCCTTCAAGCAACCCGGCGTAGGCATGGGGGGCCCCAGCTTCGAGTCACCGGCCACGAGTGGACGAGGACGAGCATGGAGGACATCGAGTCAGACTTCGTCACCGATCTGATCACTTTTGACATGGTCAGCGGAGCAGAGGCTCCGAGAGTTGGCGGCGACGGTGGATGCACCAAGCGAGTCGCCATCGGGCGGCCCGAAGACACTCGGTGGCGATGGCTCGACGGTGCTGCGACCAGAGGAGCGCTACAGTGCACCAACGCTGCAGAAGGCCACTGCACGTATTGAGGTAGACGGACCTGTTTGCAGCAGGAGTGCACGCGAAGGATCAGGATCACCTGCTCCGTGCTGTCGCTCTGGGCGACCGTGGTCGAATCGGCGCGCTTGTCGCTCGGCAGTGTGCATTCGGGACGCCACGCCTGCGCACGGTGGGTGTTCGCAGAGTTCGCAGAGTCTGTGTTCGCAGAGTCTGCGAACGCCTATGTTCGCAGAGCGTCTCGTCGCTTCGTGGGAGGCTGAAAAAGGGAAGAGCGGGGAGGATTTCGATGAGGTTGCAGCGTCTTAGCCCAGAGGCGATGAGACGAATGCCGGTGGAAAGGGCAGAATCTGAGACTTCAGTTTGAAGTGCAGAGCGAGAGCGACAGGGGAAGCTAAGGGAGTGAGGGAGGGGAGGGATGAGTGGGGAAGCAAGACGCGGAGGGGGGGCGGAGGATTGAGCGTTTGAACATCCAGCCTCTTTCCTGTTCTGATTGCCACTGCCACCTCTGACTTGGCAGGAGAAGCTCGAAATCCGCATCACGCGTATTCAGTCCATTTGGAGGGCGGGGGTAGTTCCGCGCAGGGAGTTCAACGACGAGCAGTGGAAAGTTCAGCTGTCCTTCAATTCAAGTGTCGTTGCGAATATCGTAGTCGCTGAACGCAATGTGACTCCTGTGTTGGACGACCATGGACCCCTTGCGTCTTGGCCAGGTAAGTTAGGCATGGACTGCTGGTCAGCATGGTGCGCAGTAGTGGCAAGGAATCGACTTCAAGGAACTTTATGTAGTGGCCTTCGGCCCATCCGCCAACGTGACTGGGTTGTGGGTCAGAGTTCTCTTGGATGCCTCTTGGGGTCCCTTAGGCTTCCTCTTGGGAGCCTCTCGGAGGCCACCTCGGGTCTCTGCGGTCCCTCTGGGGGTCCTCTCGAGAGCCTCTTGGGGGCTTCTTGGAGGCCTCCTGTGACCAGTGGGTTGCTGCCGCTCGAGTGCCAGCGACATCGCTTGATTGGGAATGGTGCCCCGTCCCGAGCGCTGGCCGCATTCCTGATCGAGAATGGTCTCCTCGCCTCAGCGCTGGTCATGTGCCTGACTGGGTATGGTGTTGTCGCTCGAGAGCTGGCCACATCCCTGACTAGGCATGGTGCTTTTGCCTGAGCGCTGGCTACATCCCTGATTGGGGATTGTTATTTCTTAACGCTTCGCGTATCCCCAAAATCAAAGTCAGCAACGATTCTTAGAGAACTGCCGTGACGAGGGAAGTGTATCAAGACACAATGACACATTCACCCGCGCATTCCGCTGTACAATCTTCTCTGGTAAGTTGGCATGCGCCCCGTAGGGGCACCGCGAAGGCCTTGTGACAGGCGAGAGGCGCCAACGTGGACCTGTTGGGAACCGAATCTCACCGACGACGGAAGAGCCCATGCAGCAGAGCGTCCATGCCATCTAGAACGGATGCCCGGGGGTGGACAGAACCCCTAACAGTGACACGTCGATTAGTGAATTGTCCGTTTTCGGTTCTCGAGAGGGCGCCATGGCCGTTATTTTCCAGGCTTGCGCCCGCCAGGTTTGGGCCTCAGGTCGTTTTCACTAAACCACGGTTTACTAAAGGGGGGTCTGTCCATCCCCGAGATACCCCGGCGTCGTGTGAGCCTCGTTGATGCCTCACGTGGGCAGGCGGCACGCCATCTAGGAAACGATGCTCCAGCGTGCTGCCAGGATCCATGGCGTGCGAAGGCACGCAGTGGAACAGCCGCCCAGAAGGATCTGTGGAACACCAGACCCTACCGACGACGTACGAGCTATACGGCAGGGCTTCCATTTCATCTAGAGCCGACGCCGAGGCGAGTTGCCTTCGCAGCCTCGTGGAGGCCTCCCGGATGTATCTTGGGAGCAGACGGAGGAGGAGGAGGAGGAGGAGGAGGAGGAGGAGGAGGAGGAGGAGGAGGAGGAGGGGATGAGGATGAGGATGAGGATGATAATGATGATGATGATGCTGGTGGAGGTGATGGTGATGATGATGATGATTCTGATGATGTTGCTGATGCTGCTGCGGATGATGCTGGTGCTGATGATGCTGCTGCTGATGATTATGATTTATGATGATGCTGATGCTGCTGATGATGATGATGGTGGTGTTGGTGGTGGTGAGGAGGAGGAGTCGGAGGAGGAGGAGGAGCTGGAGTCCGAGTCGGAGTCGTCGTCGTCGTAGGAGGAGGAGGAGGAGCAGGAGCAGGAGCAGGAGCAGGAGGAGGAGGACGAGGAGGGGGAATATGATGAGGATGAAACGGAGGTGTGGAGGAAGAGGAGGAGGACGAGTGGGAGGAGGAGGATGAGGACGAGGACCAGTATAAACCTAAGAGTCATCAACGATGTTGGAGTTAACCCTCCCCCCAAGCTCCTTCTTCATAGGTCCCTACAACGGTTCATTTCCATTGAGGGCACTGCCTCGTTGGAAGACACCCGTTTGAAGATCCGGAAGCATGCCAAAACATTGTTCTCGGGATTCATGTATCAACTTGACTGCTGCGTTGATTCGAACACCGCGAACCAACATAACTGTTGCACCCGCCTAATCCTGAATCTCTCCAACACGCTATTTTTGGTACGTTGATTATGGGAACCCGTGAAACTCGTACAAGGTTTTAAGTCGAATGTGCGCGGCGCTGAGGCGATAGCCACATTTTGAAAAGGAACCGCCCTCAACCCGTGAAGCTCTTCTACCTTTTTTAACAAGAATGTGCGCGGCGCCAAGGCGAGAGCCACATTTTGAAAAGGGAGCGCCCTCAATCCGTGAAGCTCGTGTACGTTTTGAAAACGAATGTGCGCGGCGCTGAGGCGAGAGCCACATTTCGAAAAGGACCCGCCCTCAATCCGTGAAACTCTTTGCAGTTTGTGAAAACGAATGTGCGCGGCGCTAAGGCGAGAGCCACATTTTGAAAATGGCTGCCCTCAACCCGCGAAACTCTTGTAAGTTTTTGAAACGAATGTGCGCGGCGCTGAGGCGGGAGCCGCATTTTGAAAAGGACCCGCCCTCAATCCGTGAAACTCTTTGAAGATTTTGAAAATGAATGTGCGCGCCGCTGAGGCCAGAGCCACATCTTGAAAACGACCCGCCCTCCATCTGTGAAACTGTTGTCGCTTTTTAAACTTCAGGGTCATACATGGTGAGGAAGTCTCAGGCGAAACGCCCGGCCCGGCCTAAAAAAACTGGCCTTGGGTGGCGATATTTATAAGGAGAAGGAATTGAGGATGAGGATGATGAGGATGATGTGGCTGATGATGATGATGACGATGATGATGCTGAGGGTGATGATGGTAATTCTGATGACGATCATGCTGATGATGCTGCAGATGATGATGATGATGATGATGATGATGATGACGATGATGCTGGTGTTGATGATGAGGATGACGACGACGACGACGACCATGATGATGTTGTTGTTGTTGATTATGATGATGAGGATAGTCATGATGCTGATGATGGTGATGCTGCTGTTGATGCCGATGGTGGTGCTGATGATGATGTTGATACAGATGCTGATGGTGATGCTGACGTTGCTGCTGATGATGATGCTTATAATGGTGATGGTGGTGATGATGATGCGGATTATGCTGATGACGTTGATTATGATGACTTATGATGATGATGCTGCTGATGCTGATGGTGCTGATGATACTGATGCTGACGATGATGTTGATTCTGCGGTTGCTGCCGTCGTTGCTGCTTCTGCGGCTGCTGCTGTTGCTGATGATGATGATGCTGGTGGTGGTGGTGAAGATGCTGATGCGTTTGGTGATGACGATGACGAGTATGGTGATGATGCTGCTAATGATGATGATGATGCTGCTGATGATGATGCTGCTGATGATGATAATGATGATGCGTATGCTGCTGATGATGATGGTGATGCTGATGGTGATGGTGATGCTGATCATGCTGACGATGATGCTGATGATGCTGAGGATGATGCCGATGATGATGATGATGATGATGATGATGATGATGATGATGATGATGATGATGATGATGATGATGATGACGATGCTGATGACGATGATGATGATGTTGATGACGATGACGATGACGATGACGACGATGATGATGATGATGATGATGATGATGATGATGATGATGATGATGATGATGCTGATGCTGATGCTGATGATGTTGATGATGATGCTGATGATGATGGTGATGATGATGATGATGAGGAGGAGGAGGATGATGATGATGATGATGATGATGATGGTGGTGGTGGTGGTGGTGGCTGTGATGGTGAGGAGGATGTGGAGGAGGAGGAGGAGGAGGAGGAGGAGGAGTCGGATCAGGAGGATGAGTCGGAGTCGGAGTCGTAAGAGAAGGAGGAGCAGGAGGAGGAGTAGGCGGAGCAGGAGTAGTAACAGGAGGAGGAGCAGGAGGAGGAGCAGGAGAAGGAATTTGATGAGGATGAAACGGAGGGTGTGGAGGAGGAGGAGGGGGAGGAGGACGAGCATGGGGAGGAGGAGGATGAGGAGGATGAGGATGAGGAGGAAACAAGAGGAGGAGGAGGAGGAGGAGGAGGAGGAGGCGGCGGAGGAGGAGGAGGAGGAGGAGGACCAGGAGGACCAGTGGAAACCCACGAGTCACCACCGATGATGGAATCCATCCTCCCTCCAAGCTCCCTCTTCTTCACAGGCCCCATGCAACGGTTAGTTCCATTGGTGAAGCTGCTTCGGTGGAAGTCAACCGTTTGAAGACCCTGAAGCATGCCAACACATTGGTCTCGGGATGCCACCGCCACTGATCAACCTGACTGTTGCGTCTTGACGATCCTGAATCGTGTCAGAACGCCATCCTTGGGACTTCACACAGCGAGTCAACATATCTGTTACACCTTCATGCTCCGGAACCCTTCTAAAGCACCTTGCTTGGTACGTCGATTATGTGAACCCGTGAAACTCTTACACATGAAAAAACAAATGCGCGCGGCGCTAAATTGAGAGCCACATTTTGACAAGGAACCTCCCCAGTCTGTGATACCCTCGCAGATGCATATGAAAACGAATGTATGCGGTGCTAAGACGAGAGCGACATCTTGAACACGACCCACCCTCAATCCGTGCAACCCTGGCATTTTTTGAACGACTGTGCGCGGCGTTATGGCGAGATCCACAGTATGACAGCGACGCGCCCTCACCCGTGATACTCTTGCACATTTTCGAAACGTATGTGCGCGGCGCTAAGGTGAGAGCCACATTTTGAAAACGACTCGCCCTCCATCTGTGAAACTTTGGATTTGTTTTTCAGCTTCAGGGTCATACATGGTGAGGAAGTCTTAGGCGAAACGCCAGGCCCGCCCTAAAAACTGGCTTCGGGGTGCGACAGGGAGAACTTATTGATAAGGGGAAGGAATGGAGGAGGAGGAGGGGGAGGAGGATGATGATGAGGAGGAGGAGGTGGAGGCGGAGGAGGCGGCGGAGGAGAAGGAGGAGGAGGAGGAGGAGGATGAAGAACGGGGTGAGGAATATGATCAGGAGGAAACAGAGGAGAAGCACGAGAAGGATGAGCAGGAGGATGAGGAGGAGGTGGAGGAGGAGGGGGATGAGGACGCGGAGCAGGAGAATGCGGATTAGGACGACGACGACGACGACGACGACGACGACGACGACGACGACGACGACGACGACGACGACGATGATGATGATGATGATGATGATGATGCTGCTGCTGCTGATGATGATGATGATGATGAGGATGATGCTGCTGCTGATGATGATGATGATGATGATGATTTTTTTACGATGATGCTGATGACGATGAGGAGGCTGATGCTCATGACGCTGCTGTTGCTGATGACGATTATGATGGTGATGCTGCTGCTGATGATGACGTCGCTGCTGGTTCTTTGGATGATGATGCTGATGCTGATGATGATGCTGCTGATGGTGATGATGGTGAATCTGATGCTGCTGTTGATGATGATTATTATGCTGCTGCTTATGCTGATGAAGCTGATGCTGGCGATGATGATGATGCTGCTGCTGACGATAACGATGATGAAGCTGATGCTCATGATGCTACTGTTGCTGATGATGATACTGATGCTGATGATGCTGATGGTGATGATGTTGATGATGATGACGATGCTGATGATGATGCTGATGATGATGGTGGCGATGCTGATGCTGCTGATGATGATGCTGATGAGGTTGGCGCTGATGATGATGCTGATGATGCTGGTGGTGGTGGTGTTGATGAGTATGATGCTGATGTTGCTGATGACTATGATGCTGCTGCTGCTGATGATGATGCTCATGATGATGCTGCTGATGATGATGGTGGTGTTTATGCTGTCGTTGTTGATGCTGATGATGCTGATGCTGATGATGCTGCTGGGGATGGTGATGATGATGACGATAAATGATGACGATGATGCTGCCGATTTTGATGATGATGCTGATTATGATGATGATGATTCGGATGCTGTTGATGATGATGATGCTGCTGATGATGCTGATGATGATGATCATGATGAGGATGAGGATGCAGATAAGGATGATAATGATGTCGATCATGGTGATGATGATGATGATGATGATGATGATGATGATGATTCTGATGCTGATGCTGATGATGCTGATGATGATGATCACGCTGATGCTGATGATACTGACGATGATGATGCTGATGGTGATGAGGGTGATGCTGATCATGATGGTAATGCTGCTGCTGCTGATGATGATGATGATGATGATGATGATGCTGATGATGATGCTGCTGATGATGATGATGCTGCTGATAGTGATGATGCTGCTGCTGATGATGATTCTGCTGATGCTGATGCTGATGCTGATGCTGATGCTGCTGCTGCTGCTGATGATGATGATGATGATGATGATGGTGACGCTGATGATTATGATAATGATGCTGATGATGATGCTGATGATGATGATGATGATGATGATGATGATGATGATGATGATGATGCTGTTGATGATGATGCTGATGATGGAGGGGGAGGAGGAGGAGGAGATGGGATACGAGGATGCTTTCGTGAATCTTCTGTTGTGATCGCCTCCTGGACTTTTTGGGGCCCTCATGGTTTCTTCTTGGGTCTATCTTGTTGTCTTGTACCCCTCTTGGGGCTCTTCCGGGGGTCATGGAGCCAACGTAGGGCCATCCTTGAAGCAATCGATTAAATAAGTGGGCGCGCCCAACTATGAAGCCCCCCCATCGGAGGCCCCAAAATGGCATCTTTGGGCCATCTTGGGGCGCTCTTGGGCGCCTTCGGCCATCTTGGAGTCATTCTGGGCCATCTTGGACGCCCTGACCGCTCGCAGAGGGCCCCCCAGACCCCAGGGAGGAGGAGGGAGCCCCGAAACGGGTAAGACGGGGCTTGGGAAGAGGGCTCAGAAGAACCGTGATACAACCTGCGCCCAGAGGCCTTGTGGGATTCGCTTCAGCGACGGCCACATCCCTAATCGGAAATGTTACTCTTGTTTCAGCGCTGGCCACATCCTCGATTGGGGATGGTGTTGCCGCTCGAGCGCCAGCCACATCCCTAATTGGAATTGGTGCTCCCTCCCGAGCGCTGGCCAGTTAGATGCTGGGACGCTTGTTGTCTCCGTCTTTGGAGGGCTGGTCTGGGTTGTCCTGGAGGTTGCCTGGCGTAAGTTTTCCAATCAGCTTGTCCCTCTATTGACTGGCCATCGTAAAGTTGCCCAGTGATTTTCCACGAGCAGTTCTTACACTTAGGGCTTCTTACAGTCGGGGTCCTGAAGAAGGAACCCTTTTCGTTGGGGAGGGGCTCCGCGTTCCTTCAGTGTTTCGCAGCTTGCCTCAGGTTTTCCTTATGTTTTCGATAAGAAATCGAAGTTTAACTTATGTTAAAAAGAGGCCTCGTTCCTTTTTTAGGGTTCCTTAGGTCAACGCCCCGACTGTACTCATGCCACTAAAGAATTGGATGGGTCCGGCGAGGATTTTCCATGCTGCCGCCCGCGGCCGCCTCGTATGGCCGCCCCGTGTGCTGGGCGGGTCCAGCGGGGTTTCGCCATGCTTTCGCTCCTGGCCGTCTCCTCGTGCGCTGGAAGGGTCCAGCCCAAACGACGCGAAGATCGGGACAAAATCGGATCGGGATAACTCGAAATCTCTGAGAATCGGCGGGTTTGGAGGATGTATTGGGCGCCGCGGCCGCTCCAGAGCGTTCGGGAACGCTCTGAGAGCGCTCCGGAACGCTCTGGAACGATTTATCCCGATCCTAGCCTTGTTTTACCTCGGGGCCGCCTCGTGTGCTGGGTGGTTCCAGCGAGGCTTCGCTGCGTTGTCGCCTGTGGCCGCTTCGTGGCCGCCTTGGGCGCTGGGTGGGTCTGGAGAGGTTTCGCCACGTTGCCGCCCGTGGCCGACCCGTAGCTCACACCACACAGACTGCACCACATAGCTTACACCTCGTAGCTCACATCGCATAGAGCGTACCGCACAGTTTGCACCGCATAGCTCACATATCCACAGCGTACACTGCATAGCTCACATGGTATAGCTCACACTATATATATACATATATATATATATATATATATAACCACATATGTTGCGCCACACAGCTTACACCTCACGGCTTACACCACGTGGATCTCACCTCAGATAACACTACATAGCCTAAATATCCACAGTGCACCATGTGGGTCCATGTGACCATCCTCAGTGCTTACACATCACACTACATAAGCTTGCACATCACACTGTCTTGGGTCCATGTTGACAAACATGTTTCGGAAAAGTCGCAAGACGATCCTGGGAAGCGCCCGAGAGCGCCCGACACGGCCGGGCCTGGGCTCCCTACAGAGATGCTCCAATATTCAACAGGGAGCTCGGAAGGGACCTGAAGACCCTCCACTCAGTGCCTACGGCACGCTGGCGGAGAAGCAAGGGAACACTTAGGGCGCCACAGGCTTGACGTGTCGTCATGGCCTTGCCCTGTTGAGCATGCCACCGTCTGCTCACGTGCCCCCTCCCGTTCTGGCCCTTCTGCCGCCCTCTCCCTCTCTTACTTCCATCTCATCTCGTCTGCTTCCTCGTCCTCCCCGCCCCCAGCCCGGGCAGCAGCACGCAGCCCGGCGGCCATGAAGCTCACGCGGGGGCCCGCGATAGCATCCGTGCGGGGAGGCGGGGCGTGATGACGAGGATGGAGTTCCGGCGCATGATGAACACCACGACGCGCTTCCAGGCGCGGCCCCGCCCCGCCAGTGGCGCACCGGTGCGCGACGCCACGCGCCAGCCTGCAGGGCCGCCTGACGATCCGATTCGGTGCGGTTCGATTCGCCGGCCTGCGCCTCGATGCCGATTCGATGCGAGCCGGTTCGATTCACCAGCATCGGCCAGGGCCAGCCAGGGCCAGGCCGGGCGATCCGATCTCGGTCTCGATTCGGGACGGCTCGCTGGCGATCCGATTCGTTTCCTATCCGATGTGCTGTCGCGATTCGATTCGGCTCAGGCCTGCCGTGCGTGGAGGGCGCGCCTACCAGGAGACTTCGGGCACCTGCTGTCAGGTTATATTGCGGGGAGGCTTCAACGGGCGTGCCTCCCAGGGCGTTCCTGGTGCCCCCTCCGGGGGAGGGTGAGGAGCAGCAGCAGCTGGAGCATGAGGAGGAGGAGGAGGAGGAGGAGGAGGAGGGGGAGGAGGTGGAGGAGGAGGAGGTGGTGGAGGTGGAGGAGGAGGAGGAGGAGGTGGAGGAGGTGGAGGAGTTGGAGGAAGAGGAGCAGGAGGAGGAGCCAGAGGAGGGGAGGAGAGGAGAGGATGAGGAGGAGGCGGAAGAGGAGGAGGAGGAGGTGGTGGTGGTGGAGGAGGAGGAGGTGGAGGAGGTGGAGGAAGAGGAGCAGGAGGAGGGGAGGAAGAGGTGGTGGAGCTCGACCCCTTTTCCCCGAGGGGCCCCGCTGTCCCTCTGGGGCCGTCCTTGTGGCACGGTCCAGCAGCCCCCGAAGGGGGCCTTGGCGGCCGCGATCTCTTCCGAGGCGCTGGATGTCTGGGGACGGGGATGGACTTCGGTGGCGAATCATGAGAGCCCTGGACATCCTCGTAGCTACGTCTCGAGAGTGCACTCGCGTGCGCCGGCGCCTGGTAGTCGATGAGAAAGCGCCGATGCAGCGTCGATTGGCGTAGGCTCAGCGCCGACAAGTCTCGATCGGCGTCGACTACCAGGAGCCAGCACGGCGGCATGGGAGGTGCTCCCATGAGTTGCCGCAGAAGAGGGAGTCAGTACTGTTAACCGACCCCTATCCCCATCCCCATTCCCATCCAGACCCCCACCATCTCACCGCCCCCAGTTGGGGATATACCCGTCAAAACCCGACGGAAACGGCCTAATCCCCGTCTAGGGGGGTAAATTCGGCCGGGTCGGCGTCACCCCAACATACTTATATTATGTGTGCGGTGCCCCCCCCCAGGGACGACATGCGCACCGAGAAATCTTGTAGTATAGGCGTCGTGGCGGGCGCTTTTTGGCCACGCCGCTCGGGAAACGATCTACTACAAGATGGTTGTATTTCGGGTTGGACGCACGCCTCGAAGGAGGACATGTAGTACTAGTATGTCCCTGTGCGTCCCAGTGGGGCCCATGCCACGCAGTCGGGGATAGGAGTCGGGTACGGTCGGACCGTTGTATACGATCGAGGCAGTTTCGGGGAGGATGCTCTCTTCGTGCTTATTGGGTGTTCTTGTGCATCCTGGGGGGTGCCCTCGAGCGATCTTATTGCTCGGCGTGCTTTGGTCGTCGGAGGGTCTCATGTTCTTGGAGGATGTTCCTCTGTCCTGGGTCCGACTGCAAACGATGCTCAGGGAGGGCGAGGGCGAGGGCGAGGGAAGGGCGAGGGGAGGGCGAGGGCGAGGGCGAGGGCGAGGGCGAGGGGAAGGGCGAGGGCGAGGCGAGGGAAGGATGCTCAGGAGGGGCGAGGGCGGCGGGAAGAGCCGCACCAGCCCCCCCGCGCGCACCGCCGGCCCGCAGGCGGCCTTCCGGCGGCTGCTGGGAGGGCGCCGCGACGCCGTGCTGCGCGCGGCGAGCCCAGGGGCGGAGGGCCCGACGAGCGAGCACGACGACGACCACGACGACCACGGCGATGACGACGACGACGACGACGACGACGACCACGACGACGACGACGACGACGACGGCGACGACGACGACGACGACCACGACGGTCACCACGACGACGACAACGACGCCGACGACCACGACCGAGACCACGACGACCACGGCGACGACGACGACAACCACGACGATGACGAACACGACTACCACGACCACGACCACTACGACGACGTCGACGACGACCACGACGACGACGCCGACGACCACGACGACCACAACGACGAGCCCGGAGCGGAGGGCCTGACGAGCGACCACGACGACGACAACGACGACGACGACGGCGACCACGACGATCACGACGACGACGACGACGACGACCACGTCGACGACGACGACGACGACCACAACGACGACGACGACGACGACCACCACGCCGACGACGTCGACCACGACCACGCCGACGACGACGACAACGACGACGACGACCACGGTGACGACCACGACGACGATGACGACGACCATGACGACGACGAGGATGATGACGACGCCGACGACCACGACGACCGCGACGACGACCACGAACACGGCCACGACCACGACGACGACCCCGACGATGACGACTACGACCACGGCGACGACGACGACGACCACGACGACGTCGACGCCGACGACCACGACCACGACCACGACGACCACGGCGACGACGACGACGACAACCACGACGATGACGAACACGACGACCACGACCACGACCACTGCGACGACGTCGACGACGACCACGACGACGACGCCGACGACGACAACGATGACCACGACGACGACGACAACGACGACCACGACGACGAGCCCAGGGCGGAGGGCCTGACGAGCGACCACGACGACGACAACGACGACGACCACGACGACCATGTTGATCACGACGACGACGACGACCACGTCGACGACGACCACGACTACAACGACGACGACGACCACGACGATGACGACGACGACCACGACGACGACGACGACCACGACGACGACGACAACGACGACGACGACCACGACAACGACGACGACGACCATGACGACGACGAGGATGACGGAGACGACGACGACCTCGACCACGACCACGACGAAAACGACCTTGACCACCGCGACGTCGACCACGACCACTTTGACGACGTCGATAACGACGCCGACGACCACGACGACGATGACCACCATGACGACGACCACGACGACGAGTCGGGGGCGGAGGGCCTGACGAGGGACGACGGTGACGACGACGACCACGACGACGACAACGACGCCGAGCCCGGGGTGGAGGACCTGACGAGCGACCACGACGACGACAACGACGACGACGACCACGACGACGACCACGACGACGACAACGACGACGACGACCACGACGATGACCACGACGACGACGACGACCACGACATCGACGATGACGACGACTATGACGATGAGGATGACGACGACCATGACGACGACGACGACCACGACCATGACCACAACGAGGACCACGACCACGACGACGACACCGACCACGACGACGACAACCACGACGACGTCGACGACCACGCCGACGACGGCGACGACGACGACCACGACAACGCAGACTACGACCACGACCACGACGACCACGACGACGACGAAGACGACGAAGACGACGACGACGATCACGACGGCGAGCTCGGGGGGAGGGCCTGACGAGCGACCACGACGACGACGACGACGATCACGACGACCACGTCGACGACGACGACCACGACAACGACGATGACGACGACCACGACGATGAGGATGACGACGACCATGACGACGGCGACCACGACGACGACCACGACGACGACCACGACGACGACCACGACCACGACGACGACACCGACCATTACGACGACGACTACGACGACGACGACGACCACGCCGACGACGGCGACGACGACGACCACGACCACGACCACCACGACGACGACCACGACCACGACGACCACGAAGACGACGACGACGACCACGACGACGACGACCACGACGGCGATCTCGGGGCGGAGGGCCTGACGAGCGACCACGACGACGACGACGATGATCACGGCGACGACGACAACCTCTCGACGACGACGACAACGACCATGGTGATGACGATTACGACGACGACGACGACAACCATGATGACGACGACGACGACGACCACGACGACCACGGCGACGACCACGACGACGACGACCACCGCGCTGACGACGACGACCACGACGACGACGACCACCACGACGACGACCACGACGACGACCACGACGACGACCACGACGACGACCACGACGACGACCACACACACACCCACACCCATAGGGTGCACGGTGGGGGCTATGGGTGCGTCTTGTCGGATGGGGCTCCCGCTCGAACGGGAGCCTCCCCCGGGGTCCGACAGCCCCCACCCATACCCATAGCCAGTCCTCCTCCTCCTCCTCCTCCTTCCTCCTTCTCTTCCTCTTCCTCCTCCTCCTCCTCCTCCTCCCTCTCCTCCTCGGTCCCTCCTCCTCCTCCGCCTCCTCCTCCTCCTCCTCCCCTCCTCCTCCTCCGCCTCCTCCCCCTCCTCCTCCTCCTCCTCCTCCTCCTCCTCCTCCTCCTCTGCCCCCCCCCCCTATGGGCAAGGGTGTGCGTTGTTCGTTCGCACGGAGCCGGCGCCAGCGCCCACGACCAGGGCGTCGTTGGGGACCTGCCCCGCGCGAGCCATGGGCAGGCCACCTCGCGTCGTCGTCGTCGTCGTCGTCGTCGTCGTCATTGTCGTCGTCGTTATTGTCGTCGTCTTCGTCTTCGTCATTGTCGTCGTCATTATTGTCGCCGTCGTCGTCATTGTCGTCGTCGTCATTGTCGTCGTCGTCGTCGTCGTCCCCAGATCTCCGACGAGCACGGCGAGAGGCTTTTCTCGAGATTTTCGGCTTCCGGGGGCCCTCGTGGGTCCTCGGGACTGTCACCAAAGCGGCTCAGGATGAACAGCGGGGTCCCGTGGAACGGGCCAGGGACTTCCGGGGATCCCGTAGTGAAAACATCAAGATATCGGATCTCCGGAGTCTTGCCCCGATCGGCTGAGTGTAAGCCATGGCCAGGCAGAGACGGGCCAGGGAGCCTGCCAGAGGTCCCAGGCGCTGTAAGCTCTCACCACGATCGGGCAGAGGCGGGGGCTGCTATGCGTTGTATCTTGCTGTCGCAGCCTGTGGCTATCGTGGCCTCTCTTTCCTCGTGGGCCCGTATCGTTCAACCAATCCCCATTCCTATCCCCATCACCTTCGAGACCCCCACCACCGTACACCCCCGGTTGGGGATACACCCTTCGAAACCCGAAGGATACGGCCTATATCCCCATCTAGGGGGGTAAATCGGCCAGTGGGGCCCAGCCCACGTTGGTGGGTAAGGGGATCGGTTAAACGATACTCAGTGGGGCCCGCAAGCACCCGCATCCGCGGAAAACCAATACCGCAGTACAGTCAACCTTCATAGTAAGTATGAGCGACTTCCAAAGTTAATCCTTGCATCCTTTCCCTTCGGCCCATCCTGGGCCGCTTTCGCTGGCTGCGCCCCGCCCGCAAAGTGTCGACATGGCCTTCCAGGGCCCTTGCATCCTCATATCGTGCGCCCTTTTGAATACCTCTTGACTGTAGTGTTCGCCAGTCGGAAAGGGCGCAGGAACGACCGTGCTGGCCGGCCAGGAGCAGAGGAGATGCCGCCGAGCCCTTGCAGACCCAACCGCCCGTTCGGCGTGGCCAGGGCCTCGGCCTCGCCAGGGGCCCTCCCTGGTGCCAGGGCGACGGCAGCCTGAGCCGCACGTCGCAGGTGTGCCCACTACCGGACGGCCTGCAGGATTGACTCCCCTTCCCTCCCGCTCCTCCTCCCCAATCCACCCCTTCCTTTCCTTTGTGTCGCCCTTCCCTTACCCTTCTACAAGTGCTCAATATGAAAATACTCTCCCTCTTCCCCTGATGGCGTCCGGGTGATGGCCGCGCACCCTCCGCGTACTGTTTTTTTACACACAGGATGCCCGGGAAATCCCGGGAAACGACTCTCGCTGAGGCGCCGGCGTCATTTTTTCCCAAAATGCTGCTCTCGTTGAGGCGCCGGCCTCATTTCTGCTCCCGAATCGTTCCGAATCGTGCTCCCGCTGCAGCGTGGGCCTCATTTTCGGATCGGTGTTTGGCCTCCGTCGTTCAGGATGGCGTTCTCGCCCCAGCGCGGGCCTTTTTCTCGCGCGCCCATCCGCCCGCCACCACCGCGCCGCACCGCACCACCACACCACAACCACCACCACAACCACCACCACACCACCACCACCACCACCACCACACCACCACCACCACCACCACCACCACCACCACCACCCACCACCACCACACCACCACCACCACCACCACCACCACCACCAACCACCACCACCACCACCACCACCACACCACCACCACCACCACCACCACCAGCACCAGCACCAGTACCACCACCACCACCACCACCAGCACCACCACCACCCACCAGCACCACACCACCACCACCACCACACCACCACCACCACCACCACCACCACCACCACCACCACCCACCACCCACCACCACCACCACCACCACCACCACCACCACCACCACCACCACACCACCCACCACCACCCACCACCACACCACCACCACCACCACCACCACCACCACGACAACCACGCACACACGCACGCACGCACGCACGCGCACCACCACCCACTACGCACGCGCGCGCGGAGCCACAGGTCCGCTACGACACGCGTCCGCGGATAGAGAAAATCAGCGCCATGGTAAGGGATGGGAGGGAGGGGTAGGACGTCAGATATGACGCGAGCGCACCTAGCTTGCCCTTCCCCCCTCCCTCGCTCCCTCCCTCCCTCCATGCCACCCTCCCCCCTTCTCCCCCCGCTCTTCTCCCTTCTGGTCCCCCTCTGCCCTCCTGCCCCTCCTCCCTCTCCTCCCCCCTCCCCCTCCCCCTCCCCAGACGGGGAGGAGGGGACGCCATGGGGGGACAGAGAGGGGGGACGCCAGGTGGAACACCTGAGTGCATGATCTGTGGACGCTGCCTCTGCAGCTCTGTCCAGGCCGATCCCGCATGCAGGCCGACACACCAGAAAGGGTGTCTCCTCCTCCTCCTCTTCCTCTTCCTCTTCCTCCTCCTCCTCCTCCCTCTCCTCCTCGGTTCCTCCTCCTCCTCCTCCTCTTCGTCCTCCCTCTCCTCCTCGGTTCCTCCTCCTCCTCCTCCTCGTCCTCCTCGTCCTCCTCCTCCTCGTCCTCCTCCTCCTCCTCCCCCTCCTCCCGTCCACGCGTCCAAGTCCATGGCAGCTTCGAGCTTCGGACGCCCGAGGCGGGCGACCTCTTCGCCATCGAGGGCCCTCGATTGCCGCCGACGGCCAGGCCTCGGGCCTCCTGTGGGGAACGGGCTCCCGCGCGGCCGGGGGGCGGCAGGCGACCATGACCATCCAGGCCGCCTACCGCGGCCACCTGTACGGCCGCCGCCCCATGCAGCACGAGCGCGAGGCGCGCGCCTCGGGGGGCGCCCCGGGGGCCTCGCCGCCGGGAGGAGGTGGAGGATGTCTGTGAGTGTATGCTGTGTGTGTGTGTGTGTGTGCATATGCACGTGTATAAGTGTCTGTGTGTGTGTGTGTGTGTGTGTGTGTGTGTGTGCGCATGGTATGGTATGGTATGGTATGGCATGATTTGGTATGGTATGGTATTACATGTATGTGTAGCATGTATATGTGTAGGTGTGCATGCACACATGCATGCAGGTGTGTAGGTGTAGGTGTAGGTGCATGTGAAGGTATGTGTATGCGTATATGTAGGTGTATGCGTATACATGCATGTACATACACGTGTACATGCATACATAGGCGTATATGCAGATGTATATATACATATATATATATATATATATGGATGCACACATGTGTATGTAATACGGATCGGTGTACGCATGCGTGCATGTACGTAGTATGTATGTATGTCAGCATTTATGCATGCATGCATGCATGTATACGTATGTACTTGTGCATGCTTGTGTGTCTGTGAATATGTATATATGTAAGCACAGTCATGTGCACGCGTACATTCATATGCACACATGCATGTACACACATACATACATATACACATACACATATATGTATACATGCATGTATACGCATGTGTACATGCATACGCATATGTATACGCGTATGCATATGTACTCGTACATGTTTATACCTACGTATATACACCCACTACCTATTATGCATGTGTTTATCTACATGTACTTGTCTATGTGTAAGGATGTGTGTGTATACATATATATATATATATATTGATATATATATATATATATCAATATACACCTATACGACAACCCTTCGGGTGATAAGGAGGTTGTGTGGGGGGGGGAGAGGGGGGAACCAACATCTGACTCAATCGATCTCACTATCGATATCACTCAACGGGACACCACGGGACACCACGGGACGCCTGTCGATCTCAGTATCGATCTCAATATCGGTTTCACTTTTTGGGACACCACGGGACACCTCGGGGCACTTGTCGATCTCACTATCGATCTCACTCAACGGGACACCATGGGATACTTGTCGATCTCCTTATCAATCTCACTATCGATCTCACTGAACGGGACACCACGGGACACCACGGGCCACCGCGGTACACCACGGGACACCGCGGGGCACCTCTCGATCTCAGTATCGATCTCACTATCGATCTCACTCAACGGGACACTATAGGACACCACGGGACTCCACGGGACGCCTCGGAACACCACATCGATCTCACTATCGATCTCACTATCGCTCGAACTATCGATCTCACTCAACGGGGCACCACGGGACACCACGGGACACCACGGGACACCTGTCGATCTCGTTATCAATCTCACTATCGATTTCACGCTTTGGGACACCACGGGACACCACGGGACACCACGGGACACATCGGGGCACCACATCGATCTCACTATCGATCTCACTATCGATCTCACTCAACGGGGCACCACGGGACACCACGGGACACCTCGGGACACCTGTCGATCTCGTTATCAATCTCACTATCGATTTCACGCTTTGGGACACCACGGGACACCACGGGACACCTCGGGGCACCACATCGATCTCAGTATCGATCTCACTGTCGATCTCAGTATCGATCTCACTATCGATCTCACTATCGATCTCACTGAACGGGACACCACGGGACACCACGGGCCACCACGGGACACCAAGGGACACCGCGGGACACCGCGAGCCACCGCTGGATGGACGGACGGACGGGCGGGCGGGGGAGAATCATTTGTTTTGACTTCGCCCTAGCAGCGGCGGGCACCACGGGACACCGCGGGACACCACGGGACACCGCGGGACACCGCGGGACACCGCGAGCCGCCGCCGGACGGGCGGGCGGGCGGGGGAGAATCATTTGTTTTGACTTCGCCCTAGCAACGGCGGGTTCATTCCTCTCGCGCGCCCTCTCAGCTTCGCCTCGCCCGCACGCACGACACGAACGAAACGAAACGATTTCCCGGTTGGGGGTCTCCGTTCCATTGATCTCACCCCCAACCTCCGATATATATATATATATATGTGTATATATACACACATCTGTTTATGTATATATATATATATATATATATATATGCATGTAGTTGCATATGTAACTGTATATATATATATGAGTGCTTATGTGTGCATATTTATATATATATATATATATATGTATATGGTTATGTATAGTTATCTGTAGCTTTCGAATATGCATTCATCGATGCCTGCGTATATACACATTCATGAGTAGGTGTATGTGTAGATGTATGTATATGAGTATGCATTTATACATGCGTATATGTTCATGTACCTGTACATACACATGTATACGGACATGCACATGTTCATGCCTCTATATAGATGTATGCGTGTACGTATACGTGTACCTACATGTACATGTACAGGTATCTATATACGTATGTGTATGTATGAATGGATGTATAATTTTTTACGCTTCGCGTATCCCCACCAGCCCATCTCACAACAGCAACTCTTGCGAAGCATGCCGACAGTCGTGTTTTTCAGGCGTGTGTCCGCTTGCCCCCGCATATCTCCCCTGTTCCTCCTTCCTCCCGCCTCCTTGTACATCCTCCTTGTGGGGGGAGCGGGAGAAGGACGAGGCGGAGGAGGAGGGAGAGAAAGCGCTCCTCGTGGTTTGAGTCGTTTGGGGTTTCTCGTCCTGGTGTGAGTCGTTCGGGCCCTTCTTCCTGGTGTGAGTCGTTCGGGCTCTTCGTGGTGTGAGTCGTTCGGGCTCTTCGTCCTGGTGTGAGTCGTTCGGGCTTCTCGTGGTGTGAGTTGTTCGGGCCCCTCGTCCTGGTGTGAGTCGTTCGGGCCCCTCCTCCTGGTGTGACTCGTTCGGGCTCCTCGTGGTGTGAGTCGTTCGGGGCCCTCGTCGTGGTGTGAGTCGTTCGGGCTCCTCGTGGTGTGAGTCGTTCGGGCGCCTCGTCTTGGTGTGAGTCGTTCGGGCCCCTCCTTCTGGTGTGAGTCGTTCGGGCTCTTCGTGGTGTGAGTCGTTCGGGCCCCTCGTCCTGGTGTGAGTCGTTCGGGCTCCTCGTGGCGTGAGGCGTTCGGGCACCTCGTCCCCTTTTGGGGCGTCTTGGGGGCCTCTTGGCGGCCCCAGGGGCTTCTAGGAGCGTCTTGGGTGCCTTGGGGGAGCCTCTTCGGGCCTCTTGGGAGCCTCTTGGAGGCCGTTTGGGGCGTCTTGGGGGCCTCTTGGCGGCCCCAGGGGCTTCCAGGAGCGTCTTGGGTGCCTCGGGGGAGCCTCTTGGGGCCTCTTGGGGGCCTCTTGGGGGCATCTTGGGGGCCTCTTGGAGGCCTCTTGGGGGCCTCCTGGGGGCCTCTTGGGGCCATCTTGGGGCCTCTTGGTGCCTCCTGGGCGCTTCTTGGGGCCATCTTGAAGGAAATCGATCAAAGAAGAGGGGGGCTTTAATTAGCGCTGCCCCCTCAGAAGGGCAAAATGGAGCCAAAGCTGTAGTAAAATCAATGATTTTGGCTTGAAAGAAGAGGGGAGCTTTAATTAGCGCTGCCCCCTCAGAAGGCCAAAATGGGGCCAAAACCGTAGTAAAATCAATGATTTTGGCTTCAAAGAAGAGGGGAGCATTTTTTCTCCCTCCCCCCGTCGGGGCCAGAATCCTCGTGAGGGGTGTCGTTTTTTAGCCCTCCCAGGAGTCGAAAACGACCCCTCTGACCACCCGCGAGGCGCCCTCTCCAGGCCCAGGGGGAGGGGGTAGGGGGAGGGGCAAACCCCTCCCCGAAGGGGAAGAAGGGGGGTTGAGAACAGAGAGAGCTCTCTAAACCACTCACGCCCAAAGGGCTGGTGGGATTCGGTGTTTTCATGTATACAGTTGCATGTGCATGTATCTGTATATGTCTATGTTTATGTTGACGTATGTACACACATATGTGTATTTGTAGGTCTATGTAAATGCACATGCATACGCATCTGTAAATTTACATGCATATTTATATGTGCAAGCCTGCGCATATGCATACGTACATTTAAGTATCTGTGTGTATGTATGGGTGTTTGATTATAGGGTAGGTATGTGTGCATGCATGTGTGTATGTATGCTTGAATATACGACCAACAACACTGACACATACATACAGCTATGTACATGATAATGTATGTGTACACATATACATATATGCATGTATGTATGTATGTATGCATGCATGCATGCATGTATGTATGTATGTATGTATGTATGTACGTATGTAAATATGCATGCATGTACGTATGTATGCATGTATGTGCGTGTGCATGTATGTATGTATGTATGTATGTATGTATGTATGTATGTATGTATGTACGTATGTATGTATGTATGTATGTATGTATGTATGTATGCATGTTTATATATATATATATTCGCATGCCTATGCATACAACTGTGCATATCTATGTTTTTATGCACATGTATGCACGCATTTACAAATCTGTGTACATGCACACATATATTTATATATTTACATATGTATATATACACATATACATATATGTATAAATATATGTGGATAACATGCATGTTTGGCTTGCGGGGGCCCGTTTCGGGTCCTGGGGCTGTCAAATATCGATCCGGGATGGGAACTTTGCCAGGATCGACCGCAGGAGGGGTTTGGGGCCTGATTCTGAGACTCTGAGCAATCTTTGGTCGGAAAGTGGGGGTAGAAAGGACGTGGAGGCCGGGTGGCCAAAAGACGGCGCATGCGTTTTTTTCTTCGGGGGCTGGCACACGGGAGGGGCTGCCTTGCCCGCTTTTGCCCACGTTACGAGGCGAGCTGCTTCCCAGTGAGGCCTCCTCACAGGCTCGGGGTCACTCGGCGTATCTCGCTCTCTGCATCATCCCTGCCCTGGCCTCAAAATGCAGGCGACATCAGATGCCGCCTGGCGTGGTGCCCAACCAACGTCATTTCGGGCTCGCCGATTGCTGGGTCAAACAATTTTCATCCAGGAGG